TTAATACAAAAAAAGAAACATGGGTGCCTTGTCTTTGCAATAAAGAATAAACAGACTGAAATAGACCACTTTGTGTATAAGGATTTTCGTCACTTTTAAAGCAGTAAGAAGCATATGGCATTGAATGCAATCCATACTCCCTACGTTGTGTTTCGATAGACATTTTCTTGGAAGAATATGGAGCAAGGAGTAACGTTTGAGATACGGAAGACATAAAGTAGAACTCGTGTTTCATCTATTTTTGCCGACCGAGTTCGGAGTCAGATTTTTTTAAATTTGCTTCACACTGCGCTTGGTTCATGAATAAATTTCAACACCTTGAAGAAACACATTCAGACGATTTGTTAAAGTTAATGAAAACATTAATTTTGGATATAAATTTAAATATAAATTTTAACATGCCCGTCATGAAAATTTTTATTAATGAAAAAAAGATCCCTTGGCTTTTTGGGAATTTCCCGATCAAAAAAATGACAGTCTCGTCAACCTCTTCTACACAGTTGTTTTAAAAACCCTTTCTTTTAACCCGATTTCAATAAAAGTTTTAATCCTTTCGTTCCTGATTCTTTTCCCCTTAAAAAACCAAAAATATGAGGTTTATCCCATTCTTTTTGCGGGTTTTGGGAAAAAAACTACCGAACCCGTTTTTTAATAAAATTAGAACTTTAAATTTTAAAGGGAATACTTTCCAACAAAAGGGTGCACAAAAATTTTAAACAGTGAAAACTGTAAACATTAAACTACCTACTTGAAAGTTTTAAAAATTAAAAAATCATTAAAAAAAACTTGCACAAAAAAAAATTAAAGGTAAAAACCGTACTTTTTTTCACCATTTTGGGGCTTTTGATTTAATTTTTTGGCAAAAAAGGTAAAAAAAAAAAAGTTTTTTAGGTGATAATAATAAAAAAAAATTGATGTAAAGGTTAAATGGTAACATAATAATGCTTTGCAAACGTAAAAAATGTTGTTATACATTTAGTATTATATTTTTCTATGACGCTTTACATTTAACCACTGACACGCAACAAATGACATAAACAGATATACAACTTATGAATATCACTTTCAAGTAAATGAAAAAGAAATATTTTTCTACATTTAAATCTTTACAAAATCAAATTTGTGTACAACAAAATGTTCCTTATGAAGTTTTCTTTTAAGTATCGAAAATATCAAATTTCTCAATTGAAGGATCAGTATGAAAAATGGACACTGACGATTTTATTCGTTTTAATTAATTGAGATAAGTTATTTAGATCAGATCATATAATACATTAAATAGGCAGTCCTCCTCTATACATGACCAAACTCGATAAAATGGTAAGGGAAGTTATAAAAAGTAGTATGAGTAAGAATAGGTACAGATTTTACAATAAAAAAACAAAACTTTTCCCAAAAGAATAAAAGCTACTTTTGGGAAAGTTTGGGCTAAAAGGGGGGTTTTAAACCATAAGCAAAAAAAAGGGTTTACAATAAAAAAATAAAAAAAAAAACTTTTTATTTTTATAAAATTTTTTGGGAAAAAAAAAATATCGAATAGTGTTTTAATGGGACTTTAAATTTTGAAAATTTGGACTTTTTTGGGAATAACTTTTTGTTTAAAAAGAAATTTTATTTTTTGCTAATGGAAAAGACGCCATATCGAATCAATTTGTAACACCCCCCAAAATACCATTAAACCCCTTTGGGGTTGTCGGGTTTTAAAAAAAATCGTAAAAAATGGTTTTTTTTAAAGGGGGAATTTTTTTATAGACTTCCTTTATAGAAAAATTTCATTTTAAACGATAAAAATAAAAATTTAAAAAAGACATCATGACTAAACAAACTGTACGATCGATTTTCCAAACTTCCGATGCCATAATGAAGATAAAAAAACAGTTCCATCCTTCTCTTTGACGACCCAGAATCCCAAACAGATTAAAACATTTGGCACTATTATACTATTAAGTGAATACTTAAATCACTAAAATTAATCGCAATAATCAATTCACGTCGAAGAAACTGGAATTTTAAATCCATGATCGTCTGCTAGAAGAAATCGTTTTTTATTTCGGGCATCACAATCAATTACCTATAACAGTTTTTAGTAATTTTCAGATAGACTGTAAAGATACTGAATTTATTGCAAGAACAATGTTCTAAAAGTCCATGGCAGATGCCGGTTCACCTATATCCGGTAAATATTTTGAACTGTCACTGAAAGTACAGGAAAATAAACAATTAAAGGGGAACGCTGTATTTTTTTTCTTTTTGTAAACAAAATATAAATCAAATTAAATTAATTTAAAAAGGCCGAATATGCCTCAGAAATGAATATGTGTTGTTTTTTTTTCTGCGGAAAGTTGAAATATTTGCTTTATAATAAACGGTTAAAACATTTGATTAGCTCGATATGAGATACCTACCAACTGAACAAAATGATATTATCATTATCATCATTAAATAAACCTTAAAACTTATCCTGTGTTGATTGTTTGTTCCACTTTTATTGTTTTTCTTGTAAAACGATATTAATTGTGATGAATGTAACAAAATATAAATCAAATAACATTTGACTTTATACACAATACAAACTAATTGCTAAAACGCAATTCATGTAGTATTAAAAGATGGCTCTACTATATTGCCAATGAGTAACTATTTTAGAAAATGTAAGATGACACAAAAAACAATTAGCTTTAAAATTATTATATTTTAAGCTAATGGACATATAATCAAGTACATTTGGTTGTACTGTTCCTTGATATAATGATTGTCTACGTACCCTTCCCAATTTTTATTTTTTGTTTTTACAAAAATTGTCTCATTACCCCAAATTTACCAAATCAAGATTGTTTTTGTCGGGTGGGCCTAACATTGACAAACCTTCATCTTTTTCCCTTGACCTAAAACCCGGGGGAAAAATTTCCCATACATATTTTTAAAATTTGAAATATTTTTCCCTTTTCCAACCTATTTTGACTGCTTTTGGAAACATATATTTTTTTTGGAAAAATTTTGAAGGGGTTTTTGTTTTTGCTATGGGCCTTCATTTATGCACTGTTTTTTTAGTTTTTCCCCAAAAATCTTTGAATCTTTTTGTTTTTTACATTTTGGATTTTTCAATTTCGTTTTGCGGGTTTTGGGGGATATTCACCCCACAAGGGGCCCCTGGGTTTGTTTTTTTAGGGAAAGGGGGTATAGCTAAAGGTAAGGGCTCCCTAAAGGAAAAGGGCGGGGCCCCATTTTTCGAGGGGGGCATACCTGAAAATAAAAAATCTTTTAATTTAAAAATTGCCAATCATACTTTGAAGAAAATAAATAGTAATTTTAATAAAATAAAAAAATTGCCGAAACATCCATTTTTTTAACAAAAATTTAATTTCCAAAAGTGATTTTAGATTATTGCAATCATCAAAAAGGTTTTTTTTAAACTTTTAACGGGTTTGGATACAAAAAGGTTTTTAAAAATAAGCTATTTTGTAATAATAAAGAAAACAAACGAAACGGATTTTCCTTTTCCCATTCTATTTTCCCATTGTTTTATCCATGCCCCTTGAAATTCCCTTTAAACGTTTAAAAACAACAAAAGGGGAAAAAGAATTAACTAACTAAATTTTTGAAATAATTTAAAAATAAGAAGAACTTTGTTTTGACCATTAAAAAAAAATACGGGGTTTTTCCTTTCCCCTCTTTCCCAATTTTAATTTTGTGCTTTATAAGTTTTAACGATCTTTCCCCAAAAAAAATTTAAATAAATTATGATATCAAGCCTAGCATGCAATTTCATTTTTTGTTTTTAAAAAAAATTTTTTATTAGGGTCTCGGTTTTATTTGACATTTTTTGGTAAGTTTTCAGCCCCCGCAAAATATAATTTGAGGAATAAGAAGAAAAGGGAAAACCCCTCTAAAACAAAAATTGTCCCCCCACACACACCAATTTTTTGTACAAAGTTACATTTGCACTTTCTTTCTTTGGAATGGGGAAATCTAAACGATGTCAAAAATTTTTATTTTTGACTCAACATGTCCATTTTCGGATCATTCCCCGTCTATCTTGTACAGTGAAAAAAAGAAAAAATTAAATACTTCCAATCAAAAAGTTAGATAAAAAAAGTTCCCCAGTTCTCAAATCGAAAAGTTTTTTTGACCCCCATTTTAAACCAATTACGAAAAAAAAAATTCTCCGTATCCCCCAAATCTTTATCAGGGGTTGTTATAAAAACAAAGGATCAAAAAAGATTTTTGGTTTTACAAAAATTTGAAAATATTTCAATGTTGTCCCTTAAAACCGGGGAAAAAATTCCACTAAGGAAATGTAAAATTAATTTTTTAAATATCGCAAAGCCCAACCCGCTGAGCACTTTATCTGAAATTTTGGGGTTTTGGGGTAAAAAAAAACGCCTTTTTAAAAAATCCCAACCCGGGGCGAAACGTTTAAACCGGTTCCGCTCGAAAAAAAAAGTAACTATGTAATTTCCCGGATAAAATTTGATAAATTTCATATTTTGCCCTTTTTCCCACATCAGTACTAAAAATTTTAAAAAAGAAACCCCAAAACCCGGTCTGTAAAATTAAAGAAAATATGTTTTTTAAAGAAAAGATTAACCCGAATAAATTGTTAACTTTGGATGGGAAATTTTAAAAAACAAAAAAATTTAGATTTCCCCATAAAAAATGTTTAAAAATTGTAAAAAATTTCGGGTAGAGGGAAATACAGAAAAAAGCTCAATAGGTGAAAATTGGAAAAAATATATTTGTTTTTTAAATAAAACCAAAAGATAAGTGGAAATATTTTAAACGAGGGAAAGAAAATTTTTGGAAAAATTTTTTTTTCCTTTTTTGATTTTAAAAACAAAAATTTTAAATTAAAAAAATAGACAAAAATAATAACAGTAAATTTTTAGCTTTTATTTTAACTTTTGTTTTTTAAACAGATAAAATAAAATAAAAAACTTTTCGAGCATCCCTCCTCCAAAAATCCCAAGTTTTTCCAGAAAAAAAAAACATAACAAGGGCATTTAAATTTCTGATTTTTCCAATTGTTTCATAGTGGTTTGAAACATTGTAAGTACTGGAGCTTCATTGACATCAGTGACAGTGAGGTTTAAGTATTTCTCTTCCAGTCCAGGTAAATATACATCTCTAACACTGAACAAAAACTCATAATGATTCAATGTCTCGTAGTCAAGAGCTTCTTGCAATGTCAAAACTCCGGCTGAAAGAAAACCATTTTTCTATGACACATTTTAAAACTGGCAGTTTATTTATTCCTTTCTAATGCATATCCTCCGAGTCAGATATCCTACAATTATGTTTAATTCCTTACTTATATATACTGATATTTAATGAAGGTCTTGTTCAAAGTACACCATTCTTGCTTTGTGAAATAATAATCCATTTAGAGACATTAGTTCCTTAAGTGCTTATTCATAAATGGTAACTGTATTCACAACTGGATGAAGAATTGATATAATTATATCGTAACATAACAACAAATAACTTTGCCTGTTTGTTTCAGTTTCTGAGTATTAAGACCTAAACATGCATCGTATTGATGTTTTTTGTTGTTGATTCCCCTATTTTTTATAACTTTGCGATCCTTAATTTTCTAGAAAATATTAGTTTTACTTTACCATTCGCATCAAGTGAAAATGCTGAAGTTGCAGATTTTGGATAAACTGTTATAGAGAATGTATGCACGTCCAGTGCATCTGGATCATCTACTGTTGCAGTAAATAATGTTGTCCCAACAGCTGAGTTTTCGTCGAAACTTACTGTTTCTGGCAGATTGTTTAGTTGAGGATTTGTTTTTGAAGCTATTTAATAAAAAAAAGATATTTTTACAATACAATTATGCTCTTGAAAGACGCTTGCCTCCAGAATTGATTTAATTGCTTCTACTTAGGCACATCTGATCTTGGTAACATTTATGTATATGTAAAGAATAATTGGTTCTAAAAGCCTTAAGTTTTCCCTATTTTCAGATTTAATCTTATATAAAAATAAAAAATGAGGATAAATTAATGGACAAATTGTGAAATAAAAATATAATTACAAGATTAAGATGATAAAAATTTACTACTAATATTGCGGAGGAACTCACATGAAATATTTACGTTGAGATTTTCACAGACCACATGAGTGTGAACATTTTCTTCTATGCACAAAGTAATGATATACATTTCCCCCTCTTCATCTGGTATTCTTACATCTCTCTTTAACGATACGACACCATCTAAAGCAAACAAATAACTTTTTGACTCTTAACATGCCTTTCAATGACAACCTCCATCGGTACTGACCACTTAAAAAGATTGAGCCGTTTTTGTTTACTCGCGAAAGGCTTTGAATGGAACTGATAACTTTAGAGTAAGTTACCATCGTTTCATTGGATTGGTCAGTGAATGCAATACATTATTTGTAACCTTTGTTTCACCCTTAATCTACCGTTCTTATATTTTACCATCGAACACTAGCATACTACTAGGGGTTAAGTGAAAGTTAATTAGTCATAAGAGAATTGAATAAGTGTACGATAAGTTTGTAACTGATACTAAATAAAATATGACACCATCAATTGGTCTTATAAGCAATTTATGTAGCTGATAGAAAAGGATAGTTATATTCTATTAGCCTGTGGATATATGACTATTCGTTTTGTACATATACTTTTAATTCTTACTATTCTTGAAGAATACACAATCTTAATTATTACTATTCTCTAATAACAGTATATGACACTCATGCCCAGGTTCTAAGTTTGTTTTAAGACCACGACAATACTTTTTATTTTATACCAGAGTATGGTACCAAACTTAAAAGATCTAAAAGTTTTGTTTATTATGCAGGTGAAGCCGAAATTAATATCTAAATCTTAGATGATCGATATTAAATTACTGGGTAGTGCCTACACTTGCACACAAGGGAAACAACTTTTACAAAAATTATAAAAGTGTTCATAGGATTTACTTTTACTGAATATTTTCGGTTTATTACCCTATCATATTTGTTATGCATACAGATACCTTCCTGAAAAAGGCAACTCTTCAAATTCTTAAAATCAAGATATGTCAATGCATACTGCCGTTCTTATCAAACATTGATAAAAAATATTGTATATACCTGACAAACACTGTAGAGGAACGAAGCTGTCTGTAACATTACAGGAATACAGGAGGGGGTCGTTTTCAGCATCTGTTGTCTGTAGCGTAAAAATGATGGCCCCAGACTTCACAGTCATAGGATCTACATTGATAATATCTCCAGCTGAAAATATTTTATGATAACCATGATTTTATGAATAACAATGATTGTTATTATTATTATTATAATTATTATTATTATTATTATTATTATTATTATTATTATTATTATAATTATTATTATTATTATTATTATGAAGCAGTAGTAGTGCACTCAACAACTTTAAAAAATGCACCAAACTTATTTCAATAATAGTTACATTGAATATGATGATTACATGTAATGTAACTACATTTTTAGTATATACGTAATTATCAATTTCAATGACATCATCCATAAGAATTGCATTTTAAAAGATAAAACATTTAGTACATATTTTGTAACACTAACAAAGCTCTAAGGTGAAAAAGTGAGTTCATATATAAATTGTCAGCTCATTCTATACTACACTAGTAGGTTACTTTTGAACTGTTAGTCCCTTAATTATTATATTTTGCTTCAATTTAACACATCTTATTGTTAAGTTATTCTCAATCACGCTACTTTTATTTCATGCTACTAGCTTTAAACGTTTTTACTTTTCTGATCGTTTATATTTTGGAATATATGTTTTATGCCTTTTGTTTTGTCGGAAAAATACTTTTTTATCTAATGTTTCTTGTTATTTGTAACCTGATATAAAATAAAGTTTCTTGTATTTTGTACTGTGTAAGTGCGAGTTAATTCCCAACCGAAAAGAAAATAAGAACTGAAAAACGAATATAATCTGTTTAATACTCACCATTTAAGTTATCCATTGTGGGAATTTGGTTCTCTAGAATAGAGACCGTTGCTGTAGCTGTGTCAGACGAACCATAATTATCTTCACAAACGACCACTATTGTATACGTGTCTGCAACATCATAATCAAAACCCGGCCCTTCTTTGCTTATAATCTGGAACACTGTAAATTCATACAATGGTTAACATGTTACACTTGATAAATAAGAAAGATATCGTGAAATATTTTAATAAAGAAATGATGGGACAGACCCGCTGATAATTCCAAAATTATATAATATACATCGCGATTAGTTAATAACCATATAATATAAAATGGTATTCATAAGCAAAATGCATAAGTTAATCATATATAATTTAGGTAAATTCAACATGCTGAATTTGAAAAGGATAAGATCAATGAAAATGGGAGTTTGACGAAGTTTCTTAATTATTTTGTTTGTTTAAGTGTTGGAATGCAATAAAATGTGTATACAATTCACATGTATGTTTTCTATGTTCTTTTTATAACAGGCGTTTTCAACATGCAAAGCAAATACATGTATTATAGAGACTTATTCAAAGCAATGTTAAATAAATTGATAAGATAGAAAGAAATAAAATCTTAAAGAAAGTCCGAAACGGCAAAATTACAATTGTTGCAGGATCGTTTTGATTTAGCCTATTCATGGACGGTACTGGAAATAACAATTTACCGAACACGCCCCCTAGCACCAGAACATTTCAAACAGAAATCACAAACCGTTAGAATCAGTATCAGTTTCAACAGCGAAGAAAATGTGGTTATTGGCCGGTGTTGAGGCGGCCTCGTCAACCTCACATGTGACGGCATCATTTGTATTAGCATCAGAGGTTGCTATGGTGACAATTGTTACAGATTCTGTCGTGTCCTCATGAATATTTACGCTAACACTTGCCATGTTGGTTATGCTTATATCCTTAAATGTGAACAAAGAGTTACATACATAAATTTTAACTTGATTATAGCAGTTTTCAGCAAGCAATTACAGAGGCATCTGGAGCGACCATTGCTTGGCTTTATATTAAAATGTCAATTTTACAATTGTTAAATATATTTGCAAGTGTTGTGAAATATAAACTAAACAATTGTTGACATTTTTAAGGAAACAACTTCCTTAACCTTTTTTAAATACGTTTTGAATATCTGAAAAAAGTCTCTACTGTTAAATTGGATATAGCTTAAGCTGATGCGAGTTAGATGGATTAATTATATTGCAAATAACGATAAATCTCATGAGCTGGTATATTAAAACCCAAATTGCAATTGTCAACTATTTCATTGGTTTCATTGTTCTCGAGGATCCCCCTTACCGATGTTACTTTCTCTATTGAATAGTGTACGACATCAAAGCAAAATTTCACCATGACAATTGAGTCTAATGGTTATTTGTATCTCACGGCTTTTTTCAGAAGTTGTGTATGATTATTCATTCACTCGGATGAAATTTTACAAAATTATCCAAGAAAGCCGGTGAGGTGGTACGACCGTTGTAAAAAAGACAAACATGATAAGGCAAATTCATTAGTGAAAACACAGCTCCTAAAAATGACAAAATTGAAAATGTTGCAGGCTCGGTTTGATTGAGCCTGTTTATGGATGTTACTGGAAAGTATCAGCTACCGTTTACGCACCAAGTTACCATTTAATCATTAATATATTTGCAAGTGGTTTCACAAGGCGATAATCATGAAACCGTTTATAAGACAAGTTCGTGCCATTCCACCAAAAGCAGCATATGGTCACCTGACGAAAACATGCGTGTGCCCTAGGGGATCAGAGGTAATGAAGACTGCATATCACTGACAAGGTTTCAACAGACAAATTTAAAAAGCAGGCAATATATCTTAATGGTGCTTATACAGTTTTCAAGCAAGAATATTGTAACCCAAACAACTAGAACATTACAAAATACCACAGACATGTATAAACAACGCTTAACGATCTTTAAGGATCGAAAGTAACATCTTTAATTAAATGTACGGGGTGACTTTTTACAACCTCCACATGACATAAATTACACTGATGTTGCAGAACAAATCCTATAGAGAACGTTCAAAACAGCAAAACTGAAAATATCGCAGGCTTGGTTTGTATGAACCAGTTCATAAAAGGTACTGAAAGATTCATACGAACCTTATTCGTGAATGTCACTTCCAAGCTCAGTGCGCAGGCTGCGTGAGCACAGGCAGCAGTGTCATACACATTCGCAACGAGGGAGTAGGTGCTTGGGTTTGGTGGATTGGTTGCTTCTAATGATGAAACCATTGTCACACTTCCTGTTTAAATTGAAATGGAAACTAATAGCCAAGTTGTCGAACACAGTTACTTGAGAGACACATTTACCAGCAGAGAATCTGTTCTTTTTTTATTTGTACTTTTACATATATGAATTGACTTATAATTTTAATTTGTGAAAATAAACGAAACAATGTTAATTTTACAAAACTGTAATAGTAGTAAGTACTTAAATAATTATATATAGAAACTAGTTACAGATATCAAACAAATACACATTGCAAGTTCAGACAGATTACTTCTTCTGTTTCATTGAACTTCTTGTCACTCTGAAGAATTGTTTCAATAGCTTTCAAAATTCTAAAGCATAAAAAAACTCAAAAGCAAGTGTATGTTAGCCTAAGATATTTTGGTTCTGCATTCAGTTTGTATTAAGTACCAATTTATTTCATAGCTAGGCTCAAAGATACATTATCTGATCAAATAGTGCTTGGCAAAATTCCAACCACTGTTTACCTGTGAATGGATCAACAGAAAATAGGTCCGGGTATTCGGATATAATAACGTAAGTAAGTTGTGTGTATCCAGTTCCGGTGACAGTAATTTGGAATACCTCACTTCCTGCTGCTTCCTGGTCCGTTATTGTAGAAGAAGCGTCCGTGCAAACAGGTGTTGGCCCACAATATTCTAAACATACAACAAACTTACGTCTATTAAATCAGTTTATTTAATTAATAATCAAAATATATTGACATTTATTCATGTTTAAGAATGGAAGTACACTGTCAAGGAAAGTGATTTATCTGTAGAATCTCTTGGAATGATGGATTTCCTACTTAATCAATACACAATTTTAAGGTAATCCTTTTTGTTATAAATATACAGAATCTGATATGGTGCAATTTTCAACCACTCTTTACAATTCTTGCCAAAATATGTGTATTTTGACAAAATATATCTTGAATTGATTTACATCACTTTTAAGGCATAGTCATAATATTTGTCAAACTCTTTCCAACGTATTACTTGAGCATTCAAACAGGTCAAAAGCTTATCTTTCTCCTCTATTTCTAAAATTCATAATGATTGCTTTAAGCATGTGCCAGATTCTATTGTGCTTAAATAGCAATTTGTGAAACACTATGATATATGGTACAAATATGCATGGCTGTGTAGATTTATAAGTATACGTTATAGTGGGTTTACCTCGAATATCAATAGTAAATGAAGAACAGACAATGTTTCGTCTCTCTCTGCCACAGAAAGTAATGGAAAATGTACTGTTCACAAGATCCCATTGAAATATTGTTGTGGTTACATTTGCTGGATTACCTGAATGTTCATGAAAAAGAAAATATTTATAGGTAAAGTAAAGTCAGAGTACAAAAAAATACATTTGTTAAGGCAAAATACATAATAACAGTGTAGCAATACCACGTGACCTGGACGTCATTTTTGGCATCATTTCCAAGACAAATATTGCTCGATTCGAAAAGGAAAATAGCCGTCAGTATTTTATTTCTGCACCGATTTCTTTGGGATATGCACCATTCTTCGAAGAAAAATATAAGCTTGCCATCGAATAGTGTTTTTCCTTCAGTATATGAGCCGTTCTATCAAACACTCTGTATAACCTTGAAAGTTGCTTGTATACGAGCGGACTTCAGTTGCAAGCTATTTTGTTTTCTTGTATAATCTGGTCTACGCCATGATTTAAAAGTTGTAATTATATAATCAACCGGGAGTACGGAAGGCAAAATCCTACTAAAATATGTTTATTTTGCAATTATTTATGGCGTAAATCTGAACTTTTTCTGCAATTGACAATTATGGCACCAGTTCCAAGCCAAATATTTGGACTACAGTTTAAAGTAGTTTTCAGAATTGCTTACAAATGCGAAGAAACATGAAACTTTTCAGAGTTGCATATCCAAAAGAAATAGGTGCAGAAATAAAATACTTACGGCTATTTTCCTTTTCGAATCGAGCAATATTTGTCTTGAAAATGATGCCAAAAATTACGTCCAGGTCACGTGGTATTGCTACACTGAATAACTTGATACTAGTATTGGAATATTTTCAATAGCTCGTTTTAGTTGGAACAAGTTTATTATTCTGTAAAACAATAACCTTTTGGCATTTTGGATTTTGGTATGCACTCATCATTTGTCGGTTTAGCAAATACTGTAATAAATTATCTATATTTTAGAATACTAATTAGAAAGTGTTATGTCCACACTCGCTAAATGTTATAAGGAATAGTCCTTGCAACTCTGTAAAAGTTTTAGCTAAGTGGACGCCAGCTGTGATATTGACTTAACAAATCTTTAACCCCTAACCTCCTGATCATGTACAAAGAATTTGCCTTTCTTGAGTTCGAAATAGATCATTTGTAGTTGAAGGGAAATCAATACTTTAAGCAACGAGTACCAAACATACAGAACTTGCGCTTTCAATAGTGTACAGCCTGTCTATATAGCATCCATATTCTTATAGATGTATTATTGCTAAGTAACATACTTACTGTTGTAGTTTCCACGATCATCGAAAGCAAACAATGATGGTGTAATTGGTGATATGGTGTAGTTATAGTCAAGTGTTTCACTTTCAGCGTCCGTGTAGTAGATAGAGAATATGTTGTCTAAATGTGCTATGTTGTCAGTGTTTATCGTTATTGTTGCTAAAAAGGTATAAAACATCATTTTATCAACGAAATCAAATGTAATAAAATATTGTGAGATGGTTGAGTAAAGTAACAAAGAAGAGAAAAAGACAACAACAAAACGTGTTTGTTTAGGCCCATCTCTTCAGTGGAGACATGATTATTGCAAAAGTCGCTGGTTTGATCAAAACTGTTTGAACGGTCTGACTAGACTTACAGAAACATGCTCAGGATAAACACCTATCAAGCCAGAACGTGACTACTATGTCGATCTGAACGCATTAGGGACGTGATATATAATTACGTTTAAAACTGTCTGCGAACGAGCTTGTCCTGTGATAAATTAGTTCATGTTGTATTCAACGTTTAAGGAGCGAAATTTGTAACTAGGAACACAACAGCTTTAAACAGAATGCAGACGGCCTTAAACTGATCGAAAACGATGTTACAAGGCAAAACCAGCAACGTCCTAAATGATTTATGAACAACTTTTGTATCACATATCATTTAGTATTTTCCGGCAATATTTACACTTTTTAATTAGTCCACAGTCCGTTCAAGGATATTTCGAGGAATGTGTTGGACGTGTTACAAACTAGTTTGCTGTGACAACAGCATTTAAAATGTACGTTATCACCAGTGTATCTTACTGCTTAACATGAAATAAATAACTGTATAAAAACGAATAATGTTATCATTTTCATATACAAATGTTATTATACTAGTATTCTAACAGATGGAAGATGAATGAACAACTTCCTTTTCAAATTGAGAAAACGCAGCATAGAGTTTTTCGTATTTTGTCAATTAAATTTTGCCATGTGGTTACGGTTATCTGACAGCGTACGTGAATTTTGTAAAACCAAAGAAATACTTTAATTTATAAATATCTTAATTTATAGATTTACTCGGAGTATTGCTGAACACGGGTGGTTGATTCTCCGTCACCTTTAACGTGAACGTCTCCTCGTCGTCTGAACCATACGCATCGTTACATTTGACCGTCATTGTATACTCGTTGTCAAGGTCATAGTTCAAACAGGCGACGTTTTCTAAACAGAGAAAACTAGCATCGATGTATCCGCAATCAGGATATTGGCACCTCTTCTTGTATATGAACCATGCTGAAAAAAGGATAAAAGTGTAGGTCAAATGAATAATTCTTTTCATCATAAAAAGTGGAGGGAGACCTCAGTTCTTCCACAGTACATTATTTCAAGCCAGATTTGGCTGTTCATCTTGACTTTTATCGTAGAGTGTTTTTCAAAACTATGAGAGGTTCTCAAGTCAGAAACCAAAACCAATCATTTACGGAGGCCCTCGCTATTCCTTAGTGAAATACTTACAGTTATGATTAAAGCTTCCGTTATGGTATAATTCAAGGAGCGTCGGTTCTTCATTGGTGACAACAACGCATGTGACGTTGTCATGATCCGGATTATTGTAGTCATAGGTGATTATACTGTGAACGAGAGTCCGCGCATCGGTGTCTTCATGTATATTTCTGCTTGTAGGTAGACTAGTTATTCTAATGGGCTGCAAAACAATATTAATTTTGATTTAGCTGTGCTTAATACACGCAGAGCAAATCAATTATATAAACTCAGCAGGCTAAATGTTAAGAATATCAACAGTGAACGGAAAGGTTGAAGTATTACCCAGTTTGTAAATGCTATTCGCATTGACATCGTACACGTGCTGGAATAGTGGCACGAGTGCCCTGGATTACTCACTCTCACTACAATAGTATGGGTTGAATATGGATAATCTGGCCATACAGTTATATTGCCAGTTGATGATAATACACCTGTAATAAAGAACAACATATCGTGACTTGAACATACTACACCTGTTATAAAGAACAGTCAAAAATAATATTTTTGACATCAGTTGAGGATAATACACGTGTGATAAAAAGCAATATTCCTATTGTGACGATTTTTAAAAAAAAAACTGTTACACAATTTAGTGGACAAATGTATGTTTGGTAGACATTGAGCAGCAACACAACGTAAGCGTCTTTTTATTACAGGATTCTAATACATGATAAAAATGTTAGGAGTTCTATCTATGATGCTTATCATTTCTTGATCAGATTTATTTGTAATATAAATTCATGCTCTTATTATAAATTATTACTTCATTATTATGATGTTTATTATAACTATCATCATTTTCTATTAAAATTAATGATAAAATCAACACCACCATCGTCATCGTCGTTGTCATCATCAACAATAACATAGTCATCTTTATTTTCTTTTTCATCTTCTTATCTCAGTCTTCCTTTATCTTTTTTTCATAAACATCATCATCATAATCAGCAACAACATCAATATCACCATCCACATCAATATCATTTAAAACATTTAACATCTTTTATCAATAACTAATTGTTTAATAGTTATAGCGCGGCTTTATACCTGTATTCAGATTTAACGATGCTTCATTCAGCGTGGATGATACAATGACAAAATTGAGATTTTGCCAAGTCGAACTTATTGCTGGGAAATGATCCGACGGTTGGTTATAGGTCATAGTGAAGAAAGTTCCACCAACTGGAAATTGGTCATTAAAGCTGCTTGTATCGGTCTGGCTGTTACAGTTTGGTGTCTGGAAACACCCGTCTGAGGAAGATTAGAAACCGAACAAATAAAGAGTTGAATAAATATAAGGCAGCAACAAAGCTGATTAAAAAAACTGCCTTGTGTCTCAGAGAAAGATACGATTAAACAAAACCAAAAAAAAACCGGCAACACAATACCTTAACATATCTATAAAAAAACACTTATTTAACGTCATTAAACTTTATCGTATCTTAAACGGAAAATGTGCAAGTTCTATGGTTCATCGGCCTTAACTACAATGTAACTTATCGTTTTGGCCAAATTGAGAGAGAAACTTCAAAATACGTTTCTACTCCGGTTTTGGAGATTATCAGTACCTTTGCAATTAAGTTCAAAACCATGAAGATGCTGCTGGTGTACCGCAATCTCAGACTAGGTTGGCGGCTTTGAATATTAGATAAACAGGCTATTATAGCAGTATCCTATTATATTGTTATCATATATACCCATTCGAGTGTTTGGCAAATGTCTTACAAAATAAAGGACAGAAGAACAAAATAACAACCGATTTCTATTTGCAAATGCTTGTAAATGTATATCTTAATACAAAAAAAAATGGAGAATATGTACAATCTCGGTAGGAACTATATATGTGAGGTACCACTGGGTTGCTGTTTCAGACCTTGGTGTCATTTTTCAGTGATGATTCATCTTAGAAATGGTAATTTGCCTCTGAGAAATAGTAGTCGATCACTTGCACAGAAACTCGTTATCATTTGATAGTAAGAAAGCCGATTAGGTGGACCGACCGCCGACAAATGATAAAAATGTATTGAAACAGAAATACAGTATATAAACCAGAGAAATAAATAGCACTCAGACTTACCAAAATTTATTGTCATTGTTTTGCATGATTCTTGGCGTCTGGTGTATATACATACACGAATTGTGTAGGTATAGTCGTATTCTACAGCAGGGTTAGTAGCCAAATACACTTGGCCGTTTGCTGTTACAGTATAAAAAGCTCTTTTATATCTTTACATGAAAACGTAACTTTAACAAAAATAGTCTCAAAAAAGTAACCTAATGGTATATTACTTTCATTTCAAATTATTCTTTGTTTGTTTTGACATGTTTGGCTCAGTGATTATCATCGAAAAGTCACAAGTACTTGATACTCATTCATATTGGTTTGAATCCCGACACTGACTTAATTTTTGGATAAATTTCTTATCTCATACCGTTTGTAGACCTTGTTACTCGCCTGTATAATTGTATTGAGGTTGCTCGTTTGAAGCAAACAAATACATTTAAAATACTACTTATCCACTACGTTCATAAAATTTATAGAAATTTATTCATGTAAGCCCTTACACATAACGTCATCTCTTAAAATACAATATAAACAAAACAGTCATTAATGCTGCATAATAAATGCCCAGAACTATTGAACAAAATTCCGGCATCTAGCAGACCGTCGGTCGTTTCATAATGCTGCCATTTAGCCCCTCTTACGTGACCATATGGTAAATAGATCGAAGGAGGAAGTTATAAGTATATATCATGATTACGTATTTTAAAGCAGCGATTTTTTGTTTGTTCTAAGACATAGGAACAGTGTGTAGTTTTGACGGCAGTATTTAAGCTATTCGTGTAATCAATGTGTATGTAATGTACGAAGACGAGTGAACGTTCAACTTATTGAATTCCGGATAACATTTTCGTAAATTCACAATTTTTACTTCGTGAATTCATGCTTTCACCATACGGAAAACATTAATTCACGATTTCAACTTCATGAATTCACGGATTCGTGATGAAGTTAAAATCGAGAATTCGTGAAGTTGAAATCGTGAATTTCACGAAGCTGAAAATGTGAATTTTTCTGAAGTTGAAATGTCCCCACCGGTCTTTTGTATAAATGTCATATTTTACCTGTATTTAGCTCAAACATATTAACGGTACCAATAGAGTATGTATTCACGACTGCAGTAGGTTTTGTGTAATCCACAATTGGTCCACCGCTCGATTTTGAAGCTGTCGCAAGAACAGTACCGGAGCTCATCGAGTTATCTGCATTGACGGAATCTGAGGAGAATTCATATTTTATTTATGGAGGACAAAAAGGTAATTGTTTGAAAAGAAAAGATGGACTCTGCAAGATGTTAAGTCTAGACCACATGTTTGTATTAAGAAATTTTAAACATCACTTAAGATACTATTGCTTCAGAAAAGGAGAAGGACTGTTCTTAGGGACAATGGTGACAATGAAAAAATAATAATAGTGTAGAGAAAAACGGAATCCCTAAATATCGCTTAAAATGACAAAATTGATAATGTTGCAGGTTTGGTTTGAGCCAGTTCATGGATAGTACAAAGCACATTAATCAATCATTTGCTTGCTTTGTACCATCAATAAACTGGCTCAAACCAAGCAAATGATTGATTTATAACAGGAAGATCTTTTCATGGTTTCCAACAAGTTTCTTTTAATTTTACCTTGAGATATCCGATGTTTTTTGGGGGAATATGAAAGTAAGTACTAAGTAAAAAGGTAAGTAAATCGTAATTCATTATAATTCAAAAATAAACATTACGAAACATTTTCACAACACCGATTACGTCACGCTCTGTTGCTTTCTGTTCTGATCAAGGAAAACAAACGTTGCGGGAGTTTGATTCCGGAGTGTATTGTAAGGTTTGCATGGAAAAGATGTATGGTCAAGCGGTGAAAAGAAAAAGAAATATTACAAGAAAAGAATAATCTCCGTATCTAACAAAACCATGTTTTGAAATCCCGATCATTATAACACATGTAGTACGTCTTAAATACAGTGACAATACTAGCTGAATAGTACACGCTTACAAAACAAAATTCGCATGATCATTTTCCATAAAAAATAACTTGAAATAATTATTATTGTTGTTATTGTTGTTTTACAAATTACAAACCTGGAAGGCTTATGACCAATGTCGGTGTTTCTTCTACGACATTAACGGTAAGTGTAGATGTTCCGTCATCATTGTTGTCGTATGAAGTGGTATAACATTGAACGATGAGATTGTAAGTAGCTGGGCCAGTCATACATCCGTTACTGGTAGAACATGCCGTACATGACGCACACGCACCACAGCTTGTTGCTGAACATGCTGATTTGCGTATAACATGTATAATGCTGCCTGAAAAGTAAAATTGCAAGATAATATATAGTTTGTTTAAATAAACACATTAGCATAACATATAAACAGCACCCCACTCAAGGTTAAATAAGAACATATTAACACGAGAAAAGAGACGCCAACAAAGGCATCAGTCAAGACTTACATTGACTTGTTGTGCCCCCACTTTAGTGGCGGACATTTAGATTACCCTTATCCATCCGTCCGTCCTTCCGTCCGACTGTTCTCTTTTGTGTCGCACGTAACTCAAAAACTTATTTGACCTAGAGTCATGAAACTTTACAGGAATGTTGATCAGCATGTGTAGTTGTGCACCTGGGTATTTTCGTCTGGATATTTTTAGTATTTTTAGAGTTATTGCCCTTGACTTAGTAAAATTTTGCAATTATCAACTTGTGTCGCATGTTACTCAAAAGTATTTGACCTAGAGTCATGAAACTTTACAGGAATGTTGATCAGCATGTGTAGTTGTGCACCTGGGTATTTTCGTCTGGATATTTTTTAGTATTTTTAGAGTTATTGCCCTTGACTTAGTAAAATTTTGCAATTTTCAACTTGTGTTGCATGTAACTCAAAAAGTAATTGACCTAGAGTCATGAAACTTTACAGGAATGTTGATCAGCATGTGAAATTGTGCACCTGGGTATTGTCGTCCGCATATTTTTAGTATTTTTAGAGTTATTGCCCTTGACTTAGTAAAATTATGCAATTTTCAACTTGTGTCGCATGTAATTCAAAAAGTATTTGACCTAGAGTCATGAAACTTTACAGGAATGTTGATCAGCACATGCAGTATTTTCGTCTGGATATTATTTAGTATTTTAAAGTAATTGCCCTTGATTTGTAAAAATTTGCAATTTTCAACTTGTGTCGCATGTAACTCAAAAAGTATTTGCCCTGCAGTCATGAAACTTTACAGGAATGTTAAACAGCATGTGAAGTTGTGCACCTGGGTATTCTTGCCTGGATTTATTTAGTATTTTTAGAGTTATTGCCCTTGACTTAGAAAATTTGTTGCATGTAACTCAAAAAGGGTTTGACATAGAGTCATTAAACCTTACGGGAAGGTTGCTCAACATATTTAGTTTTGCACCTTGGGTTTCGTTTGTGGATTTATCCAGTATTTGTACAGTTATTGAAAATTTTACAAGAATGTTGGTCAGCATGTGTACATTTGCACCTTGGGTTATGCTTTCGGATTTATTCAGAATTTGTAAAGTTCTTGCCCTTTACTTAGTAAAAGATTTTTAGTTTTCAAAAAATATTTGACCTAGAGTCATAAGATTGACAGAACAGTGGCGCGGTGGGGGTACCCGTGTCCTATGGACACATTTCTAGTTAAGGGTGATTTTTTTTCTTTCACCCAACGTAGGATGTGATATCTATTTTATATGGTAGCTGGGTTGTACAATTTGTATTTTCGCTCGCCAAGCGAAAAGTCGAAAATTTACAAGTTAAAATGGCGGGGCGCGGAGCGAAAATACGCTAATTAGCGAGGGCGCGGGCGAGATTAAGGAAATAAAACTTCGCCCTTGGGGATGCGGAGCGAGACTTAAGAAATAAAACATCGGGGTCGCATGTCGAAAACACGCAAATTAGCGGATGTGCGGGGCAAGGTTTAATAATAAGACGGTAATTAGCGTGTTTTCGTCCCGCGACTCCGCCAAGAGAAAAGCCGATAAATAACAAGTTAAAATGGCGGGGCGCGGGTTTGCTCCGGCCCCGTCGTTTTATTTCTTAAATCTCTCCTTGCTGGGGTTTATCTATTAAACTTCGCCCCGCGCCCCTGCAGGGCAAAAACACGTATGGCACAAACCAGCCACCATAATTTTATTATAATAGCGGAAACAGAGAGGTATCTCAACTGTAATAACTAAATAACAAAACCTGGCATCCGGCAGGCCAGTGGCCGTTTTATAATGCCGCCATGTAGCCCCTCTGACGTGACGAAAGTACCATACATAAAATAGATCGAGGGATGGGGTATGATTACGTTTTTAAAAGCAGCGGTTTGTTTTCTCTCGCCATCCCATATGGGCGCCTTCAGAACCAAATTTATCAAGAAGCCTAAATTAAACACCGGTCTAGGTAGTACTTTTAATAACACTTCAGATTTATGATATTTAATACTTTTATGAGATAATTATATAGTGAGTGTTAACACGCAATGTCGTGTATATATTTTCTGTACATTGGTAATGGTCATACAATTATTACTTACCTGACCAAGAAAACAGCCCAGAATTTGGATTTGAAGATAGTGTGCATGTCTCGCAATTCACAGTGCGTTGATCTTCGCCGGTTTTGAACAACTTTATACCAAAAATGTTGAAAACGTAAGTGTTGGTGGACGGATAGCATGTAGCTGATACACCTGACCATAGATCAAGGGCAGAGTCGGCATTTTCATTTAAATTCAAAGTTCCCGGATGGTTGTGGAAGGTAGGAGCTGTCTCTAAAATGAAAACATTCATTGACATTTATTATTTTTTTCATTATTATTACTTCGTATTTATAATAATAATAATAATAATAATAATAATAATAATAAATAATTATAATAGTAATAATAATAATAATTAAAATTTAAATTACCGTATTTAAGCATAGGGCTCAGCCAATTATTTTCAAAATAGTGATAATTTTCTTAATTATTTATCCCAATTATCCACAGTGGTTTTCAATACTTTTGAGACTGTACATCCGCTGAAAAATATGCCAATTTTATAATTATCGTTTATTGTATAAAGGCGCAATAGAAATATCTTACCTGATAGCGGCAGCAACATTAAAATATATAACCAAACAACCAAATATGACATATTGGTATCCACTCCTTATTATTCTTAATAGGTGTTATAATCAAATATGTAGAAAAGAATGAAATAACCAAGCAAGATGTTTTAAACAAAGATTGATATCTATACTTGATTAAACGGAACAGCGGACTCCTTTCATTCAAAAACGGTCATTTCATTTAATAGAAAAAAATTTGTATAAAGAAAACAGTGTTTATTACATATCCGGTAGTCACCTGTCAATATCGGTACCTATCGTCTGACATGTGATACTATTTGAATTACTAATTCATTTAAAAAGGTTAGAACGTTAATTTTTAATGAATTAAAGGGTTTTGTTTTACCTGTACCGGATTGTTTTACAATAGGGTGATTTTGTCACTGATATCTATATGAACAAATGTTTTATCTGAAAACAAAAGATAAAGGAACGGCATTGTTGTACATGGTTAAGCTTTACTATAGTCTGTCCCTCCAAATTGGAATATTTCATTTTTTTATTAGATATAATAGTAAAATCATTTAAACTAATGTCATGTTAACAACCCTGACGTCACTATCTCTATGCATGTTTTTCTTTTGTTTTTTACAAAAGTCAGTTATATGGTCAAGATGTTATATAATTATATTTTTCCCGTTGACTTACATTGTAACCTAACGTGAAATCCATTCAAAATGGAAGCACCGTGTATATCAAGCAACGCCGTATTGTGACAATAACGCATGATTCGTGCAATAAGTAACGCAGAATTGGGATACCTTACAGGATTATCAACGCGGTAGGAAAACTTGCTAATATATTTTTTATTTAACAGAACTGAAAAAAGTCAATAGCCTCATACGGTTGCGAAGATATAACTCTTTATCCTGCATCAAGATTACTTCCACGAATTTGCTTTTTTTTTTCAAGATCATTCGTGAAAATGATGGCTTGACCATCGTTTTGAGCGAGATTTTGACTTTTTGTCGGCTCTTATAAGTACAACAATGCATATTATACCGTATTATTTCGATTTTCGGTAGGCAAGTGACATAAATTTAACTTCTTGTGATATAGAAAGAAGAAAATAAACTGATAAAATGTGATTCAAGCTGTCCTTATGAGGTAACTCCGATGTACGTGAATTGTGCTTCGTGGTAACGACGGTAAATGTGATTTTTTTTCTTTCTTATATGGTACAGAATTATTACACAGGTTCAACGCCTTTTATCGGCAAATATATTCAAGTCTTTTGCGACCTATAGTCAATGTTTTTTCATGTAACTTATTAAGAAATATAAGATAATTAGATCTTGACAAACTTTCGACATTTTGATTGCATATTGTAACTGAGTACATTTGACAATTGTTTCCTGAAATAAAATTATTATTTGTGAACATGCTGCCAACGTATGATCTTACGTATGATCAAACTTAGTTTGCCAATAAATTGAATATAAAAATGATAGAAAACAATCAAGAGAAGAAGTGTCTGTATATTTTATGCCTGAAATAATGCACCAGTAAAGCTTGAAAGTCTCCATATGTCCTTTATTGTGTTGGCGTGAGATGAAATTTGGCTGTAGCAATTTACCTGTTGGACTTCTGTGAAAATGGAGGATTATTTATGTAATTTATCTTTTCTGTAATATTAGGAAGTTAATTGTAATTAAAAGATATTTTACTTAGAAACTATAATGCCCAAAACTTGTAAAAGCATAACTTTATTGTCCTCTGCTAAAGTTAAATAAATTATAACCCTTGGGCTACTCTTAGGGTTTTTTATTATATATTAACTTTTATGGGACAAACATATGAGTTTATGCTAGGCATAACTATCAATGTTTGCAAAACTAACTGGACTAATGACCCTAAAAGAGGCCACCAGTACAGAGCCAGGTCACATCCATACGAGTGACCATTTGCTCACTCAGGTTGCTCATTTGTACAAATACATTAAATGTATAATAGCAATCTCTCTGAACTGTTCCAAGTACACAGCTGAGCAAAACCATTTCATAAATTTACCAGGTAAAGGGTGGTATAGACTAAAGATACGTTGAATATATTTTGGTTACTTACTCACTGTACATGTATATGGAGAGCTACTAGTGTTTGTGGAAGATGCCATGAAGGTCTAAAAGTGGACTTCTTAATGTTTAAAAATCAATAAAGAGGTAGAATAATAAAAACAAAAAGTTATCAAAGCCCATTTTCATAACTACCATCTCATGACGTATTGAGAAATTGCTACCCCGTTGCTACTCCGTTGATTCCTTGTGTAAAAATATGTTTACGCATTGCTTCGTACTCACTTTAACAAAGACTTATATTAGGAAGCTTATAGCTTTAAGGTTTCAGGATCGGATTCGAGACTTTGTCTTTTTTCTACGCAATCAAACTGAAATAAATTCTGTATAAAAAGAATTAAAGTTTCCCCTCAAAAATATATTTTTTAAAGTTCTGATACTCGCCAATTAATGGCGTTAAACACGTGTAACTGTACCATATATGAGAAAAACATTTTCCGGCGTTACCGCGAAGCACTATTCACGTACATCGGCGTTACGTCATAAAAACGACTTAAATCCCATTTAATCACCTTATTTCAGTTTTTATATCACCAGAATTTTAGTAAATGTCACTTGCCTACTTTAAATCGATTTTATACCATATAATATGCATTGTTATACTTATAAGAGTCCGACAAAATCTCGCTCAAAACGATAGTCAAGTCATCATTTTCACGAATGATCTTGAAAAGTAAACAATTTCGTGGAAATAATCTTGATGAGGGATAAAGAGTGATGTCTTTGCAGCCGTATGCAGCTATTGATTTTTTTTTCAGTTCGGTTAAATACAAAATATATTGGCTAGTTTACTTACCGCGTTGGAAATCCTGTCAGGTATCCGCCATTTATTGCACAATTATGCGTTACTTATTGCACGAATCGTGCGTTATTTCCACATTGAAAGAATAACCAATGATCCTCCCATACAGTTTTTAAGTTTATATGACCAATAGAATCATCAGGAAGTCATAGTGGTAATACACAGTCAGTTAATTATAGTCAAACCCTTATAAAAGTTACAAAAAGATTTAAAAAACGATTTAAAAGGTTCAAAAGGAGCGTCGTAGGAGCGAGAGACTCGTTTAAAACGGTAGACAGTAAAAGTATGGGAAAATATTGGCAAAAGGCTGAATAGGGCATTAAATATATATTTAAGCAGACAACTAGATATTAAATTAAAAAAAAATTAAACGTTGCATAACCTGTCCTTAATAGTGTTAATCCAACCGTTGACACGCGCGTGCCTATAAAAATAGGTCACATACTTGGTTAAATGGTAAAAGGAAAACATAAATGGTAAAAAGAAAACATTTAAATGTTGTGGTTTTGTTGTTTTTTTTTTGGGGGGGGGTTGTTGTTGTTGTTGTTTTGTTTTGTTTGTTTTTTTTTTTTGGGGGGGTAAACTTTTTTCTATTAGTTGCTTTGTTTGGTTTGTTTTGTGTGTGTGTGGTTTTTTGTGGTTTTTTTTGTTTTTGTTTGTTTTTTTTTTAAACTTTTTTTATTTATATTTTTTATAATAATTTATTTTCCCCTCATACACATCTAAAGTGTATAATTTGTCATAATTTGCTGATAATAAAACGTTCTAGAACAAAATAGTATCCATCGTTCTATTTATAAATAAATTCTTATTCTAAATTATTGATATCTTTATCAACAATTGTTGTTTTTTTTTTTTCAAAAAGCTTTTAAAAAATCCAAATGATACATTTCTTTCGTTTTTATTAATATTTGAAATACTAATAGAAATTATGCCCATTGTAGACCTATACACATTAATATTAATAAATAACACATCTATATACGAGCTAATATATATATATACATGTATATAGCTAAATTTTTATTGATTCTTATTTATTTGCATCTGGTTTGTATAACGCATTTCTTTAAGCTCGATGTTTTATTCTTTTTTCGTATGTTTAGGACTGATTATTGTTTTAATTGCCCAACGAAGTAAACGATTTATACCGGTTGTATAGTAATTATTCATACTAGTATATATATAGCAAATGTAATGGGATCATTAGATAAAAGATAACGAAAGAGTGTATGTAGTTTAAAATCCATCCCCTGTTTAATGTCTCACTAGGTTATCTTGATCATTGCTTAATTTATTGAGTATCCACTTACTTGACACAAATACAACATAAAATTTATAAATAGCATTATCATTGGGATTCCCAACGTGTAACTATTAATAGATCCTACGTAAATACGATACTGTTTTAACATGTTTTTGTCGGATAATTGTAATTTCAATAATAATATAAAAAGGGAGGACTTGTAAGAAATGTGCATATCACCAGGGAGTACAACTGAATCATTAGATGAAGTATATATTAACTTTGAGATTGGTGTAGAAGGAGAAAGTTGGATTACCACTTTACCTAACGTAAACAAATCAATATCAACACATAGATTTGGCCGACTTAAAACCTGGCATTTACAAGTAATAAAGCCCGACAAAGATGGCGATCATTTAGTTTCAACAGCTATTATTCTTGGAAAAACAGATATAGCAATGATGCTTATAGATTTAATTCCCGACTATAAGTGGTTATCGAGGCAAAACAACATGTTTCAAACGGCTCTTCATATAGCTACCCTTACAAACAACTTACACGTTGTCCGGAGACTTATTGTGGCTGGAATAAATATAAGTAAACAGGATTGGGGAGGGAACACCGCCTTGCATATAGCGTGTCAGAAAGGACTAAAAGCTATTGCTGCGGCGATATTGACGCCAGTCAAGTATACGGAGACGAAATTGAACTCATACGAAATCCCATACCAAGCCATACCTCAAAATTTGGAAATCAGAAACGCTGATGGTTTAACATGCCTTCTTATAGCCGTTACAAACAAAGACCGGGATATCATTGATTTACTCATTGACAGGGAAGCGGATATTAACGCATTTGATTTAAAATCCGGAAAGACATGTTTACACATTCTTACAGAATATTGTGATTGCGCATTGATAAAGTTCATGCTATCAAAGTCAAGAATAAATGTGAACGCTAAGACCTATTCGGGATATACCGCGTTACAGCTAGCTATTTCTAGAGGTTATGACCAAATAGTGTACTTGCTAAGATGTGCTGGTGCAGATGAAATTATATCTGATGAAGAAATAAGTTCTGACTCAAGTGATTAGATTTAACTACTTATAGATGTATTTTTCTCTCAATCAAATTTGTCTTTGTTGTGCTATTATTATAAAATGTTTCGTGACTACATGTGTGAAGTTGAGTCAAACGATACGTAACCTGATTACATAAACAGCCAGTTTAAATTAAATTCGATCAACCATAATGATAATTCTACGTATTACACTAATGATATTACATTGCAGGGTTAATAAATAAACACCTGCGAACGGTGGCATAAAAGGGAAATTGGAAATCTTTTAATTTCTACGTTCCTTTTATGTCATGATACCTACGTGATTACAGCATTATTGTTTACATGTCATTGTGTTCGATCAATTGACAAATCTTAAAATCGGATATCATTTGTTTTCAACTTGTCAATGAATACTTCAATATTGATTTCTAATATGTTCACGCTGCATCACTATGGATGAGCCAAATTATTTCAAGAAAATCAACCTTCAAAAAGTTGAATTTAGATTGGGACATTCAAATTGTGTTCTCTATATCAGGAATTCCTTGTAAGCATATGACAAATTCTCTCCTTATGTTAATAGCTTTTATAGAGAACCAACTTATTTGAACTGAACATTTTCCACCAACTTCCATTTCTGATTAAGGTATTAAATTTATAACTCATCTGAGTTTGAGATTGTCACCTCATTTCAATTCGAATGTGTATTCAATTTATGACACTTACATGTTGTACAAAATGCATTTATAAAACAAAGCTAATGAAGAGTAATATCTTTAATCTGTAAGTCTGTATAGATAAATATCATCAGTCTTTAATTTCGGATATGTTTAACTGTCGTAAATTGTGACACGTTTTGTTTACATTGCTTTTTTAACGCCTTTAAAAATAGGCTTTACCATGTATTTATTGATCGGTGTCTTTGTAAAACGTGTGATTTAAGTTTGCAATATCAATGATATATTTCATAATGAGCTATTTCTAAATAAAAAACTATATGTTTACTGATAGTTATACAAGTTTTTACAGTAATTAGTAATTTTACTTCAAATATGTTTAAATGTAATTGTATATGTAATGAAAGCTTGTACGTGACACTTTTTGAGAGTTATTTTTCGTACAAAAGATTCTGTTTTGTTACGTTCTGTTCTGTACAAGTTGCTAACGGGATATACGGAAGAATACACTTGAATGAGATAAATACGACCGTGGCGCTAAAGATAACATACATCAGCGGTATAAAATTTAGTTCTTTCAAGGCTAGATCATTTAAAAATTAAAACAAACTTATCTTAAAACGATACATTGTATATTTTAGGGGATAATTCCTTAACATACTTTTCGATTATGAAAGAAATTAAACATGAAGCATTTTGTACACAAATCTTTATTACTTTATGCTTTACTGTTCACTTTAACTAGCCCAAAGCCTAGAAGAACTTGGGCCAAAATCAAAACAAATTGTCAAAGAAAACTTTAACAAATGAACATCAGCGTAAAACACGTTCAAAGCTGAAATTCGATATTATACAAATGTTATAAGAGCCCTTGAACGGAAGTAAAGCATATGCTTTTTAACTGATGGGTCGATACCACTTTACAATTAACTACCGTCAAACCCATTTTTTTTTCATCTTGTTTAATGCCTGTTTGTCTTAGGTTACGACTGAATCTAAAAGTGGATCAAATAAAGTTCAGGACAATATTTTTTGCAATTTTGTAATTATGTAAGCAAACGTCTTTAGACAGATAAAAGAAAACAATATATTATTCAAACTTTATCTTTGTTTATGAATAAATAATAACCAGACGAGAAGTAAAGAAAAGAAAAAAATATCATGTTTTTATCATGGTCATTATCAAGTAATAATAAGGGTTTTTTGTTTGTGTGGTTTTTTCTTTTGTTTTTTTTTTGTTGTTGTTTTTTTGTTGTTGTTTTTTTGTTGTTGTTGTTGTTTTAGGGGGTAGTATTTTGTGTTGGTGGACTTTGAATTTTAAAATACGTGTTCATTTGTTATCCTTAAGTAATTAAACACAAACGGATAGTAAGTCTAACAAAATTTACTTTAAAAATTTGTATTGTTGTAGGGCACTAATTCATTAGTGTAATGGTGAATGCATTTAAATATCATAATTTAAACAGAAATTATATGTAAATTTTAAAACAAAAGTACATAGTAAGTCATTTACTAAGAACAATCACAATAAAAACTATTTCTAAATGCCGATTTGTTCTTTTGGTTGAATTGTTCAATCTTCTATTGTACAGTGGAGCCTTGCTAATCCAAACCCTTCTAATCCGGAATCCTCTCTTATCTGAACAAAGTGTCCGGTCCCGATTTTATTCATTCTATTTTCAATAGTAAAAAACCTTTCGGATCCGGAACCTGTCTACTCCGAATTCCGGACGATTTTTTCAATTTTTGTTTTTATTTACTCTGAAATTAGCCCCTCGGATCCGAACAGATATTTGTCAAATGTCACACCAATATTCAAAATAACAAACAATCGCACATCTTGAAGATGTTAACATACACCAAACTGATGAGAGTAATTTCTCTTGATTAACGGGTGAAACGTATGATCTGCGAAGGTGTGAAAGTTACACTTAGCTTGCCTTTATATCTACTATAATTGCTTAATTGATTGTTTTTCGTCACCTTCAATAAATATTCTGATACAATGCATTAGAAATATCTTTAAATCTTTTGTAATGAATTTTATAACACGTGATTAAGTAACGGAAATTAATGGAAACCGTCATTGAATGTACCACATTATGTCACATTACGGTGTTCAGTCAACAACACCGGCTATCCTCGATTTTTAAACAGTAATTGGAAATTAATTGTCAGTTACTCGGTTAGAGAGTAATTAGTTTAAGTTATTTGTTGCATACCAAAAACAATTAACACACAGGTTTAAGAGAATCATTTCAGAAAAAATGGAATACTTTGAGTTATAAGTTATACATAAAGTTCGTTGATGCATTTACATGTAAATGATTACTGCGGCAACAACACATTTGAAATACATTATCTTTGAACTTGTTTTAATCTTTCATAATTATATTGATTTTTTATTCCAGCGCAGTATTTTATTGTGTTGCCAATGTTGATTTATTGACTAATAAAAAGATGTTTTCACTAAATGTCACATGGCTTGGTGTTTCATTTAACCAAACATTCGCTTATGCATGTCATTTCACTCAAAACATAGAACAGAACATTCGATTGCTTAAAACATTAAGCAAAACGTTCGATCATGCATGCTATTTCATTCGAACATAGAACAAAAAGCATTCACTTGCTTAAAACATGGAACAAACATAAATAATAATAAGCCATTTGCAATACACATTTAACAAATCATTCGTTAAGCCATTTTGTCGTCAACAAACACAATTCCTTCAATGATGTGGTCTATATGATGTGTTGGCATTGATCCTAATGTGTTGAACCGCGTCTCTGTTGCATCCTATCCTAGATCCTTTAAGTAAAAATAATACAGAAAATGTATGGGAGGAAGTAAGAACAGAACATCTTTTGAAGAATAAAACAAAAGTTTCATCATTATGTTTTTGACTAAAACTTACATAGGAAGGACAAATTAACATTTTCAAAAACATTTTGTTAAATTATATCCTAAATAATCACGACATAAAAGCATACGAAAATGGCAATAAAAAGCATAACAATATTACAACTGAAAGTACCTTTGCAACATTTAGTTTTCTTCTTTATCATACAAACAAGTATAACAAGTAACAATACAAATACAGCTAATCCAAATACAAGCGCAATAATAAGGGAGGTGTTGTCTCTTGCTTTCGCTTTCGTTTCTTCAGTGCCATCTAAAAAAAGATTAATAAATGCTTAAAAGAAAACATCACTTCCAATGGAGTACTACCAATTATACACAACGCCTTGAACACCATTGTGCTAAGAATTAATTCTGCGATATACTTGTTAGAAATTGTGTTAATTATAATGTCATACTTATACCTAACACTAACGCTATAAAAAAAATGCACCATTTTAAAAATTTCTGTTGTCAGAAATAATGTCTTACAGTCTTGGACCGGGGTTAGCTAGCTTGCAAAACATGCAACACTGGATGTTTTTTCGCACTTGTCCGACATTGTTTTGATAGCAAAGGCGTTAACATTTTCTGTATCTCTTTTGTAGGTATTTAATCTTAACCTTGGTAGGGGCGTCCGTGGCCAAGAGGGTGAGGTCGTTGGTTTTAAAACACACGCCCCAAATCGCTGTATATTTAAATTTTGCAACGGACTTTGGTTTCGTTCATGTAAGGAAGCTATCCAGCTACCTAATGGGAAGTCAGTTGTTCTTCTTGGGGTGCTCGTTTGTGCCCGAAATGATGTATAGAGATGCACCCGAGGTATTCCTTCATCCGTAAAGCTCGTAAGTCGCCATATCTCTCAAAACATCTAGAGCTTGTCGTCTAATGTAATTAAGGTATCCGTTACAAGAACATATACTGTACCCGATGAAAATATATTATATTAAGTTTACTATTTACATGAAATATCACGTCCGTAATTTTTTAGTTTTGTTGAAGTATGTACAACTTACCACAAAAAGCGCCCTCAAAAAATATAAAAGAATATCAGTACCTTCTTGTATTATGACATTGACCGTCAAGTTTGAGTATACAATATTTCTCCTCTCGCTTCCAAAAAACGATACAACGTATGTTCCGTTCAGATCATTTCTATCAGAATCCACAAAATCAAAGGTTATATGTGCCGGGTCACCTGGTACCAAAAAAGAAAGTTACTATTTATATCAATAAGGAAAGATTTGAATTTGATTTCACTATTGGGGGAAACGAAATTTATTTCCTCGGGACAGTTGATCTCAGTTTATCTCATTGCAAATTCAGAAAACATATAGAGGATATTTGTATAGTTCAGTGTAAGATCGGAATATATTTCACCGAGTGAGCACCAAAAGGTATAATTCACGAGTGGCACAGCCACGAGTGAAATATGAACTTTGGGTGTTCACAAGGTGAAATATATTTCAATCTTACACTAAACTAAACAAATTTTCTTTTTATTATATGCAAAAAAACGTTTTAAAAAGACATTTAATCTAATACTGAATGAAAAACGCACCAAATAATAATACAAAGTGACGTCATTTAGGATGTCACGTCATTAAGTTGGTACCCTGTACTGTGCACGCTGCTATTTCACTGAAACAACGTAAGGGGCTTAAATTCAAAACAGTGAAATTATCAAAGTGGTAATTTCACTGTTTCAAACAGTGAAATTACCAGTTTTATATCACTGATATATTTCTATAAACCACCGAAAAGTGATAAGTAGTTGGTCACTTGCAGAGAAAATTTATAATTCAAGAAAACTGGTTAGTTGGATTGACGGCCGACATAAGGCTAAAACGTATTAAAATCGGCGGAAAAAAGATATAAAAAAGGATCAATTTGAGCCAGATTACATTCAATATTTTATAAGAACTTAATATTTTGTTTTTGATCTCCATTGACAATGTACTGTCGATGTAGAAAAAGATGCAAATAATTATATGGCCTCGAAACTTTATACTTTGTACTAAATAACTCAGTATTATAAAACTTTTTTAAAGTTAAACTTATTTTCAAAGAAAGATAGAAGAACACATATGTCAGTAAGATCTTTTTATATTACTGTCTGAATTTCCTCTTAAAGTGAATGAAAACACATGGGGGACGATGGGGGGACTGTAATTGTCCAATCCCGTTTTTTCGGGGTCGGGAAGTAGATAGCTAAACAAAGTGGGCTTTTTTTCCATCAATTTGAAAAGGGTATCTTAAAGAAAAAAATAGAGGGGCGCCCTTTTTTTTTTAAAGTTTTGCAAAGTCTTAAAAATTGGGAAATTTTATTTCTCATTAAATTAACGTCACTTTGAAAATATGAATAAAGGGGAACATGTTTTTTGGGCATTTTTTTCCCCATTAAAAATTTTTTTTGTTTTATTTTTTGTTTAAAAAACTTATACCAGCGAAATTTTTTATTCTTTTTTGGGAACCCTAATAAAAATGAGAAAAACAGTTTTAAAAATAAAAAATAAAAGAATAAAACTTTTTTTAAACGTTCACGGGCCATTTAACATTTGGGAATGCCGCTAATTTTTGCTTTGAAGGCAAAACCCAGTTTGCACTAAAAATTTGGGTTATCATTAGGTTTCATTCCCACGGAGCTGCAACTTTTCTTTTTTACGTTTCTTTTTCCTTAGGTTTTTAAATTTTCTAAATTTTAATTTTCCCAAATGTTTCTAATTCTCCCAAAATAATGAATTTTAAACCCTTGCTTTTAATTTAGTGTTTCAAAAATTTTAAGTGGTAAACTATTTTTTAAACATTTTGTGAAAAAAAGCTCGTATCTTAATTTTTTAAAAAATCTTGGAAATAAAAAACGTTTGTGCCATATTGGGGAAACAATTCCCTTCCCCCGGTAAGACTAACCCCACAATGTGATAAAGAAACCCCTTTAAAACCAACAAAAAACCCGCCCCCCTTTTAAAAGCTTAAGATTTTAAGTAAAACTTTTAAAAAATTCTTGGTGTTTTTACTGAAACAGGGTTTGGGTTTTTTCGGTCCTTTTAAAACGTAAGGGCCCTGTATAATCCGGTTAAAAAAAATCTGTGATTTTTACTTTTTGTTAAATTCTTGGCCCAAATAAATTTAAAAAGGTTTCCCTTCACTAATAAAAAATTGTCCAAAATATCCAAAACCCTGGCCCCCCGAAACTCTTCTTTAAATAAAAAAACGAAATTTTTTTGAAAAGGAAAAAAAAATATAAAAAACTTAAATGAAAAATTTAAATGTTTAAAAAAATTCGTTTTGTAAACCGGCCCGAATTTCGACGAAAAGGGGTGGGAAAGTCAGCTTTTTGAGGCGTACGTGAGGCCAGAAAACCTCTTTACTCAGTTATGACAAAAAAACGAAAAATGAACCTAAAAAAAGTTTAAAAAAATATATGACAACGCATTAATCATATTTGGGAAAACTTGCAAAATAAATGGACATGAATGGAATAAAAAAGTGAGCAGTAAATGATTTGATGTTAATTGTTACAACACTAAACGGGAATTTAAAGCAGCTCGAAATAATTTTAATAGAGCAAAAATGACGAAATGATATCAGTACAATAGGATAAAGCGAAAAGCAAAACGAAGTTTTAAAATAAAAGAAGGGCATCGTATAAGTTACTTGGCAAAAAACGAACCACGCAAATTTTGGAAAAATATAATTAAAAAAAAACCTTTAAAGAGAACACATTCAAAGGCTGAAACGTTAACAGTTAATGAATTACCTGCTATGACCATTTTAAAGGTTTATTTGGGAAGTCATTATTGAATAATCAACCGGCCCCGGATTTTTCCCAAAAAAATAAAAATAAGATTTTAGATTTTAAAATTTAAAGGCAAATTTTTTTCCCCAAAAAAATAATAAATGCCGGGTTTTCGTTTTTAAAACAAGCAAAATTTTTAAATTTCGTTTTAACATTTTTTTCCCCAATTTTAATAAAATTTTTAAAAACGGGAAAGAATCCCAGCGCTCGTGTGGGAAGGGATTTTCCACAATTTTAAAGCGGGAAATTTAAAAATTGACGCAAAAAAACAAATCGTGGAAAACTTTTTCATTGTTATAGCAAACTTTTACCCCACAATTCATTACTTAAGACGTTTTAACGAGTCCATACCGAATAATACGAAAAGATTAGAAAAAGCTAGTTCGGACTTGAATAATTTATTGCATATTTAATCCTATTTCTATAATAGCTAAAGTTTTAAATTCTGGTTTTGGGGTTTTTCAAAACTGTAAAATTGTATAAAAGAAGTTCATTGATTATAATCAGTTGCTTTTGCTAAAATTTTTTACGGCCATTCAAAGAAATTTTAAAATTCAGATAAAGTAAGTTGAAAAATTTTTTACGGCCATTCAGTCAATGGTAATTTTTTTTGAAAACCTTTTCAAATTTGTGATTTTATTTGAAAAATAAATATTATTAAGTAGGGCATAAATTTTTTAAAACAAAATGATACTGCTCTTGTTAAGATAAGTAATTTAATTTTAAAAGTAGATGCAGATTGCAATTTAAAATATAATGTGAAAAATTGGGCTTTTTAGATAAAAAATATTCTACAAGAACATGGTTTATTGTATGTATGGAATGATCAATTTGAAATCGAAATTCCTTTTTTATTGATTAACAGAGAATAATTGATAACTTTTTACAAAAATGGTACTCTGATATTAATAATTATAATCGTTTACAGTCATACTGTGTCTTTAAGTTTGAATTCGAATTAGAACAATATTTGAAAGTGATTACTGATAAAGAATTGCTATGTCAAGATTTAGAACTTCGTCACATAATCTTTTAATGGAATATGAAAGTTATAACGATACTCCACGAGAACAGAGACTCTGAAAATCATGCAATATGAAAACCATTGAAGACGAATACCAATTTTTGCTAGTATGCCCATTACACCGTCACTTGAGAAGTGAATTTTTTAAACAATATTAGTGTCGCTGGCCAAATATCACTTAATTCGAAAAATTAATGTCATCAAAATCTAAATCTGTTCTAGCGAAATATATTTATTTTGCAATGAAAAACCGCATCTCATAATACAATCTCTAAGTTTAAATATCTTTTTACAAATTCTTTTTTTCCCTTAAAGAACCTACATACTTACATTATGGAGTAATGTATTTATTGTTTGTCCTTAATAACAAGAACTTTTTCTAGTGTAATAATATATTTAGTATATCTAGACGGTTTGTGAGAATTGTCTATGTAACTTATGTCGTCGGATAAAATTTCATTTCTTTTGACACGTCTGTCGCTGAACATCTTTGTTTGTATTGGCTCTAAACATAAGTTTATGTTTTATAAAATAATAAAAAAATTTATATTGTATATTGTATTCTTCATGACATGATGACATAATGTTTAAAGGGGATAATTTACATCCACGAAGTGTCTGTTTCCATGACCCTTAATAAAAAAAGTTTCACCCACCATCGTCTAGGTTTCTGTTTCAATGAACTATCAAAATAAAATATTGTTTTCATGAATTATCCAAACACACTTGTTTGTTCCCGGAACATATTTGAGAGTAATTAAATGAGCTTATAGCTTCGAACACAACCGAACTAAGATCAATCAATATAAAGTAAACTAAAACTGGACCGATACAAGGCATCCTTCCACATCTTAAACTTACATAGACTCCACGTTATATCATGTGTCATATTGCAAATGCGTTTGAATTGTCTGTTGCACTTATGATTTGAACTTGATAAGCATGGACATGTTGGTTCTTGTCTGTCCGTTCCGATGTAACCACTGACACGCGCTTTGTACGTAGACTGAATTTGGGGTATTCGTTTCTAGCTACATGAAAGGATTTTCAAAACTATCGAGGTTGTTAGAGGATCGGGTTTCTTAGGCACGGATTGGACACGTGAGAATGCGATAAACGCGCTTGTCAACGAATAACGCAAGCGTAATCGTGAAATCAAAATACAGTGACATTTATTAAATAAAATGATTATCATTTTTCATTAAATTAGCCATTCTACAAATCTTACAGTGAAAAAGGCCAGGATTTATACTAGATCTATTAGCAAACTTATAGTACCTTCTACAAGGGTTATTGAAATGTACCCTCACTGTATAAACACATTTGAAATAATTGTTCTTCACATAATAGAAACATTAAACTTCAAATCGTCAATTCTAATAATGACGTTTTGGAACAAATAAGAAAAAATCGTTCTTTTGTGATGTCAGTAAACATACATATTCATAGCAAATAGAACTTCGAACAAATCTGCTAAGCTTGATATAAAAATAGCATAGCTATCATCTTTGTTATTCTATGCTTTAATATACGACTCAAAATTTGCTAAAGATCACTTTTTCTACAGTGTGTTACTTTTGTGAATTTGTAATTAATGTGAAAATTGATTAAAAGGAAATAAATATAATTAGTTAGGAATTGATTTTTATGAAAATAATGACAATGGAAGTGTTTCTTGGCGTGTGCATGTTGCGAATAGAGTGCGTGAACGAAAATCAACATTTTGGAAATTACATAATGGAATAAAAAAACTCTTGCAAATCAGGAAATGGTCGGCATAGGGTGTTTAATACCGAGTATGGTGTCCGCGGACAGTAATTACGGCCTGGTATCGCCGCCGAATGCTGCTGATGAGCCTGCGGACCTTGTGATGAGGAATCTGGGCCCATTCCTCTATGATTGCATGTCTTAGCTCCTGAACTGTTGTTGGTTGGAAATGGCGTGAAGAATTGGCTTTCTGCATATCAGCATATCCCAATCATGCTAAATTGGATTTAAATCCAGGGACCTCGCTGGCCAATGATGTGTAGGTCCGTTTTCCCCTGAGCGCCTGTTCCCGCCCACACCATGACTGAACCCCCGCCAACACGGTCGTGTTCTGCAACGCATGCTGGAGCTAAGCGTTTATATGGACTTCTCCAAACCCTAGCCCGTCTGCCCGTGAAGTCCACACAAAACATTGACTCATCAGTAAAGAGGACCGTGGTCTAATCATTAAATGTCTTTGTGACATGAGTCTGCGACCATTGCAAACGCTCTTGAATATGGCGTTGTGTCAATGGAATGCGAATGGCTGGCAGCCGTGACAGTTTGTATGCTTACACGAACACCAGATGCATTCTAGAAGTAGTTACGTAAGGTCGTAGCGTTCCAGAACCGTTAGCGCCTGGCCTGAAGGACATTGAAGGACAATAAATCCGTCCTGGGCTTGAGTTGTTGAACGTTCCGACCTCTGGCGTGGCCCTTCAAGACATTTCCAGTATTTGGAATCGGTTCCACATTCTGGAGACAACGCTCTGGGATACCCCAAGGACATGGGCAACGTGCCTTTGTGAACGGCCTGGCCAATACCCCTGTTCATCTTATCTTCACTAAGACAACGTCTAACCTGTCGATTTGCCATAGTTTGTAATTTCGAACACAGTTTTACAATAAAACGAGGGAAGTCTTGCTGCTTGTACACATTTAAGTGAAAGCACATGGTCATAAAGCACCAAATGTCCATGGATATGTTTTTCCACGTGCTTATCGTGCAAGGTGTACATGACAAATCGGTAACTTCAGTACACGATTATGAGGTCCCCGCACAGGTGTATCGTTAGCGGAAATATGACTTTAATATGATGAAAATAGGACTGAAATATGCAATGTCAAAAAGGTGACCCTTTACCAAATTTTGAGTAGTATATAAATACAAACGGACGAGAAATAGACACTTACAATTGCTTTTAAATTCGCCGTTATGGTAAAGCTCTAGAAGAGTTGGTTCTTCATTTGTTACTACTTCACAGGTGACATTGTCGTGATCTGGGTTGTTGTCATCATTTACAATTATACTATGCACAAGAGTCCTTTCATCGGTGTCCTCGTGAATAGAGGCTGACGCCGGGAGAGATGCGATTCTTATCGGCTACATGAAACAAAAATAGAAATGATCAACTACAGTGTCAGTAATCAATATCAGATACACCTAGTTATTTTGTTGCATGACTGATAAAGACATTAAGGCTTTTTGATAAAAATTAAGTTTGATATTCTGAGAGCTGCCCACTAAAGACATGTATCCATGCAGGCATTTCATGCCGCTGCATCATCCCTATTTTTATCAAAATGTTTTACATAGATATTGTCATATGATTTCCCGAAATAAATATATGAAGCAAATATAAACAAATTCTTGCTACGCTTTTGATATTTTAGGAAATGTTGATCACATTGTAAGAATAAGATTATTCCTTAGCAATCTAAAGTGTGTCAAACAGAACCATTGATTCCATGATGGCTCTATTGCGAACAATTTTAACAGATTATTTAGCACATTATAAAATGTAAACAATAAAACATGTGATATTCAAATAGAATCCAATCTTATCAATTGAGCCTCGTCTCCATTTCCAGAGTCAAAAGTAACGATTTCTTCCATGTTGGCTCTATTGCAAATAATTTTCTACATATTATTAAGCAATTTTAAGTCGATATGTGTGAATTCTGTTTTAAGTGGTTATGACCTTGTTTTGAGTGTGCATTTGACATGGATTTTATTGGATGATAATATTGGACTCTATTTGACTATCACATGATTTAAACGCTAAGGGTTTATGTGTTTATTTTTAAGGTATGAAATAAGCTATATATCACATGTCTTTATTTCAGAAAATCACGATACAGCATATCCATATAATCAATATAACTTCGGAAATAAAAGAATGTGGTAAAAGAGAATTGTTTTAAAATTGATACCCAATTTGTAAAGTACACGTCCATTGTCATTGTACATGAAGCGGTGTAGGAGCAAATGTTGCCGGTACTGTTTACTCTAGCAACAATTGTGTGAGTGGTGTATGGGTAATCTGGCCACACTGTTATATTTCCTATTGTTGATATGATACCTAGAGCAAAAAAGAACTTAAATATTTGACAATACAAGTATGATTTATTTTTTGTTCTTTTTTCTTAGCAACTTGAACTTTGCAAACCCTTAAAATAAACCAGCCTGACTCAATGAACCAGATATAAATTATAACAATTACATAAATAAATGATGAATGTATTGAAATACAGTTTATTGTGTTCATAAAAGTTGGATAGGATAAAATACTGACAAATTGATTTTTGGCTAAATCTAGTACAGATTCATTCAAAGTTAAGAAACAAGAAGTGCTTTTTGCGTATAACTCAGACATATTTATTTGAAAAAAGTCGTTCATACCTGTTGTGTTAATTGCTACATCATCTAGTGTTGAAGACACAATGTCAAAAGACAAATTTTGCAATGTTGTATTAAAACTGTCAGATGTACCATCATATGTCACTGTAAAAAGTGTTTCACCGATTGCATGTTGATCACTAAAATTACCTCTCTGATCATGACAGTTGAGAGTATGGAAGCACCCAGCTGTGTAATACAGTTTATCGAGCACATAATGTGACAATTGTGTAACTGTTTCAAAACTGGCAAAATCATATATCACGCATTTATGTTAAGAAAATAATTTGTAATTGCATGCGATAAATCAAATTTGTCTTTTGAACAGGCAAATGTTAGTTGCTTATTCATCCTCCACGAAATCTCTTCATTATTTTTTGTTGGAGAAATGTATTAATTGTTTGAACTTTATTTGATCTCTAGACAAATATATCTGTGAATATATGTGAAATATATGACAAAATACTGTACTGCTTTTGAGCTTTTTTTGTTTAGGAATAAAAAATCATAATTGAGTGTCAAAGATTATAATGATAAAGTTTCTTTTCCCAAAGCATTTAATTATTGGCATAAATTTTATACATTGGTGTATCTCATAGCGTTGCAAGTTGTAAAATAAACTTTTTTTTTAAATGGTTGATTTTACTTTTAAAGCGTCAAGCAGGATTTTTGAGTTAGTGAAACACAAATTGATTCAGTACGCTTTTTGTATTATTTGTTCTTCATAGTCATATTGTATATGAATTTGATGCAATTTGCACCTCTTCATAGTGAAATGTGTACATGAATTTTGTGATGCAATTTGTACTCTTTTTAGTCATATTGTACATGAATTTGATGCAATTTGCACCTCTTCCTAGTCAAATTGTACATGAATTTGATGCAATTTGCACCTCTTCATAGTCAAATTGTACATGAATTTGATGCAATTTGCACCTTTTCATAGTCAAATTGTACATGAATTTGATGCAATTTGTACCTCTTCATATTCAAATTGTACATGAATTTGATGCAATTTGTACCTCTTCATAGTTGTTTTATTGCTCTTGAAAGATTCCTTGTTTCTTGATTGTTTTATCATATAAACTGAAAGAATGTTAACGAATTACCTTCAATCGTGAATGAAGAACAAACTATATTACGCCTTTCTCTTCCACAGAAGTTAATAGAAAACGTTGTGTCGACAAGATCTGACTGCACGTTGGTGACTGTAACATTTGCTGGATTATCTATATAATCAACAACAGCTTTGGCATAAAAATGTATGCAATTTGTCATTGAAACGACCAAACTTTTGCGATTAGAAAAATATTTTCTTGTGTTTCATGTATTCAATTCCAATTAGCATGTAAGGCTTGTTCAGTATTTTATTTCATTTCAGCAAGCAAAAATCTTTAAAGATGCAGTTTCATCTTATTTTATTTTTCATAAGTGAGTTTTTGTTGTAAGGAAACTTGATTGTTCAAATGTGTTCTTATGTTTATGAAGCTCATACGTAAGAAAACTAATAAAGGGTAAATGATATACATTCTCTTCAAGTATATACAACTATTCTAGATAAAGTCTATGCGTTGCTTAAAAATTTATTTTTATTTCAATCATTTACGTGATTTTAATTTCTTTTTAAAAAGAATAAGACTTAGTATGTTTAATCCTATCAAGGCATTTTTTGCATTGTATTTTCTCATGTATACATGTATATATCTTCATTGCATGATCTCCTCTAAGCAAGAAAGTTCACGGATAAATTAAGAATCAAATATAACAGTCATTATAAATTTGAGGAAGAAACGATAATGGAATCTCCAAAATCACCAAGCCGTACAAAGCCACTGAATACTTGAACCTTAGGATGCGCAAAGAGGGAAGCCGGTAGAGAGGGTGAACTAATGATAAAAAATACGCAGAATCCGTAACAAAATGTATAAAAAATATGTACTGTTTATTACACATTTTTGCATGTTCTAGAATTAAAGACAGTTCAAAGAACAAGCTTACCGTTGTAATTCCCACGGCTATCAAACGCAAACGATGACGGTGAGGTCGTGTAGTTATAGTCCAGCGTCTCATTTTCAGAGTCCGTGTAGTAGATAGAAAATATGTTGTCCAAATATGTTATATTGTCAGCGCTTATCGTTATTGTTGCTACAATACAAAAATACTTTTTTACTACCGGTCGCTTCCTTTTGGATTCCTAATTGTTAAAATTTCACTTAATAAACACTATCATTTATAAATATTTGTCATTGAAATATCTGACGCATTAATGATTAGTATTTCATAATAAAAATGTATTTAAACCGTTTTATTCAAACTTTAATCCTAGCACATCTATGCGTTTGGCCATTCCATGTCAGACAATAAGCATCGCAAAATGTAATAAGCTTACAAACAGATGAACTTGTGATGCAGAACTATAAAGAAGAAGAAAATCAAAAGAAGAATGTCAATGACACTAATGGCAGCTCTGCATTATGCTATTCGTCAGTATCTGAAAAATTTATGAGGCATCATTGAACATTCTGATTTTCAGTCTCAATGACCTTGACCTTTACCTTAACGGCTTGTAGTTCCATCTGAACCGCATACGCGATGGCTCGTATATACAATATATTCAAGGTTAAAATGAATCGGTGATTAAAATGGAATAATATGTTGTGACATGAATTGATAAAAGAGTAAAATATTTTCAAGAAGAGCGATTTTAATTTCATGACAAACATTCAAACATATCACACATTGTCATGTTAAGCAATGGCGTATACAATGCCTATATCAATTCAATCTTAAAAATATTCAAACTCAACTTATGATGTACATTAATAAATGATAGCTTATACGGTAGACACACATAAAAAACATATGTGATTTCACAGACAAGAAGGTGTGCTTAGGTAAAGTGGAAGTGAATGCAAATAATTGAACTAATAATGTTTTTGTATTGCTAAACGAATATTGGACTAACTTGGAGTATTTGTGAACACGGGTGGTTGATTCTCTGTTATTCTTAAAGTAAAAGTTTCCGTGTCGTCTGCACCATACGCATCGCTACACTTGATCGTCATTGTATACTCGTTGTGAAGGTCATAATTCAAACAAGCAAATCCTATGTCACAGAGAAAGCTTGCATCAATGTACCCACAATTTGGGTTTTGACATACTTTCTTATATATAAACCAAGCTGAAATAAATATATCTTTATCCGTGATAACATCATCAAAATAGAGCGTATGTATTGTATCACGGGGAACTTGGACGGTATCCGATGAGAATTTAACGCAAAATTATTATGATTAAATATTGGTTAAAACTTTTGAGCTTAGAAAATAATTCATTAATAAGAAAAATGTATTTGCATTTTGAAACATCCGCAGATGTGTTCATACGGCGGTTATCATGGAACCTTCAATGTGACACAGTAGTGCCATTCAATGAAAAGGCGTATGGTCCCCAAGTAAAAGAATGCGTGTGCCCTAAACGGGAAAACAATGGGCGGAACTAAAAAAATGGAAATTTGAAATGCCATGCTTTAATATAAATACAAACGGACGAAAAATACAAACAATTGCTTTTAAAATCGCCGTTATGGTAAAGCTCTAGAAGCGTTGGCTCTTCGTTTGTAACCACTACACAGCTGACATTGTCATGATCTTGGTTGTTGTCATCATTTACAATTATACTATGCACAAGAGTCCTGTCATCGGTGTCCTCGTGAATAGAGGCTGACGCCGGGAGAGATGCGATACTTATCGGCTACATGAAACAAAAATACAAATGATCAACTATAGTTTTAGTAATCAATATCAGATACACTAGTTATTTTGTTGCATGACTGATGAGGACAAATCTCTTTGATAACATTTAATTTTGATATTCTTAGAGCTGCCCACTAAACACATTTCTTCATGCAGGCACTTTATGCCGCTGCATCATCCCTATTTTTTTTATCTAAATTGCCTTAAGAATTTCAGAAATAAATATAAACAAATTCTTGTTCCGCTTTTGAGATTAAAAAGAAAATGTTCATCACATTGTTGAACACAATTATTCCTCAGCGAAAACAGAACCTTTAATTCTATGTTGGCTCTATTGCGAACCTTTTTTTTTCAGATTATTCAGAAATTTATGTCAAAAAGTATAAACTATATTACATTTAAACATGTTTATAACCTTGTTTTGTGTGTGTATATGCATTCAATATGTCTGGACATGGAGCTAGGCTAAAATGATATGTTTGTATTCTCTTTGAATAGCACATGATTCAAACGCTAAAGGTTCATTGGTTACATTTTATAAGCTATATATCACATTTCATTATTTCATTAAATCACAATAAAACATTTCTATAAACTTAACACTTTTTATCTGAAAGATAAATTCAAATTAATTAATATTAAAGTTGATACCCAATTTGTGAAGAACACGTCCATTGTCATTGTACATGAAGCGATGTAAGAGCAAATGCCGGTATTGGTTACTCTGACAACAATTGTGTGAGTGGTGTATGGGTAATCTGGCCACACTGTTATATTTCCTAATGTTGATATGATACCTAGGGCAAAAAAAGAACTTGAATATTTGTAACTATGAATTGTCTATACTTTTTTTCAAAGCAGCTTGCAGATTCGGGTTCATTGATTCCATCACTTTTACACTTTTAATGTTGAAAATTGAGTACCGTTCAGTCGGTGCTAGTGTGCGTGAGGGATGATGCACTTTTTTATTTTTATTATCCCGTATGTACAGACTCAATTAAACTGACTCTGCAATGTTCATGTAATTTTGTAATGCTTATGAGGGATCACAGATTTTCCAGATTTTTGCACTTTGCAAACACTAAAAATGAATATGTCTGACTCATTGAATAAGATATGAGTGATAACATATGATATTATTAAAGTACAATTAAATAAGTTCATATCAGCCTGATTAGATAAAATACTAACAAATTGTTAATTTGCTAATTTTAGTACAGATTCATTCAAAGTTTAGAAACCAGAAGTCCTATCTTTGCGTAACAATTAATCACTCAGACATACTTATTTGAAAAAAGTCGTTCATACCTGAAGTTGTGTTTATTGCTACATCATCTAGTGTTGAAGACAAAATGTCAAAAGACAAATTTTGCCATGTTGTAGATGGGCCATCATAAGTCACTGTAAAAAGTGTTTCACCGATTGCATGTTGATCACTAAAGTTACCTCTCTGATCATGACAGTTCAGAGTATGGAAGCACCCAGCTGTGTAATACAGTTTATAGAGCTCTTGAAATATTGCAATTGTGTTACTGTTTCAAAACTGGCAAAAATCATATATCACACATTTATGTTAAAAAAAACTATTATGTAATTGCATGCAATACATCAAATTTGACTTTTGAACAGGAAAATGTAAGATGCTAATTCATCCTCCACGAAATATTTTCATTAATTTTTGTTGAAAAAAAATATGTATTGTTTGATTTTTACTTGATGAATTGACAATGTATATGGGTGTATTATGTAAAATGTATGACAAAAAACTGTACGTCAATACAATTTTCTGTCCGTCTTTAGTTATCAATGACATTGCTTTGATAACGTTTTTTTTTAAAGAAAATCAAAACGAACATAATAAATCAAAGATAATAATAATAAAGTTTCATTCATTCAACTCCCGAAAACATTAAAATATTGACATAAAATATTATATCTCATAGCTTTGCAAGTTGTAATGATAAACTATTTATAGCTTGAGCAGACTTTGCATTAGTAAAAATGATTGATACACGACCTTTTTCATTCATTCCTTTGAAGGAAGCTGTTCGCAACAGTACAAATACATAAGATGAATTTTAAGGAACATTTGTCATTTGATATTTGTTATTTCTATTTTAGAACTTGTGGTCAAACTTGAAATTGTACATGAACTTGATGCAATTAGTACCTCATCATAGTTCTTTATTTTTGCTCTTGAAAGATTCCTTGTTTCTTGATTTTTACAAAAAAATAAAATTAAAGACTGTTAAAGCAATACCTTCAATCGTGATTGAAGAACAAACTATATTACGCCTTTCTCTTCCACAGAAGTTAATAGAAAACGTGGTGTCGACAAGATCTGACTGCACGTTGGTGACTGTAACATTTGCTGGATTATCTATATAATTAACAACAGCTTTGGCATAAAAATGTCTGCAATTTGTCATTGAAACGACCAAACTTTTGCGTTTAGAAGAGTACTCTTTTCTATTCAATTTCAATTAGCATGTTATTGATTGGTACAGTTTGTTGCATTTCAGCAAGCAAAACTATTCAAAGATGCATTTTCATCTAATTTTATTTTCAAAAGTGAGCTATTATAAGGTAAATTGATTGTTCAAATGTTTTCTTATATTCATGAAGCTCAGGCGTAAGAAAACTAATATCACATAAAGGGTAAATAGTGTACAAGAATATACAATTATTTAAGATTTTATGTTTCTATGCGTTGATTAAACAATACAATTTATTTTTATTTCAATTCTGTACGTGTTTTTAATTTCTTTTATAAAAGAATAAGTATGTTTAAATTTTATTAAGGCAAGTTTGCATTGTATTTTCCCATACATGTTTATTACTTCACTACATGATCACATCTCAGCAAGAAAATTCACGATAAATTAAGAATCAAATATAGCAGTCATAATTAACATGAGAAAGAACGGTAATGGAGTATATCCCCGACATCATCAAGCCGTGCAAAGCCACTGCATACTCATACTGGGGGACGCGGCAGAGAGAGGGTGAACAAATAGGTTAAACAAAATACAAACAATCCATAACAAATCCTCTTATGAAAAGAAAAAAGATGTTTACTGTTTATTAAACATTTGTGCATTTGTTTATTAAATATTTGTGCATATTATATAATCAAAGACAGTTCAAAGGACAAGCTTACTGTGGTAATTTCCACGGCTATCAAACGCAAACGATGACGGCGAGGTTGGGGTTATCGTGTAGTTATAGTCGAGCGTCTCACTTTCAGAGTCCGTGTAGTAGATCGAAAATATGTTGTCCAAATATGTTATATTGTCAGCGCTTATCGTTATTGTTGCTACAATACAAAAATACTTGTTTACTACGGGTCGCTTCCTTTTGGGTTCTTAATTGTTAAAATTTCACTCAATAAACACTTACATACATACATATTTGTCATTAAAATATCTAACAAATTAATGATTATCATTCCATCATTAGAATGTGTTAAACCTGTTTTAGTCAAACTTTAATCATAACAAATCAATGCGTTTGGTCATTATATATCAGACAATAAGCAACGCAAAACTGTAATAAGCTTGCAAACATATAGATTTTTATTGCAAAATAGTGAAAAAAGAAAATCAAAAGAAGAATATCAATGACACGGATAACAGCTCTGCATAAACTTATACGTCAGTAACTGAAAAATTTATGAGGCATCGTTGACCATTCTGATTTTCAGTCTAAATGACCTTGACCTTCACTTTAATGGGCTGTAGTTCCATCTGAACTGCTTATATGTTAAAGATATTCAAGGTAAAAATGAATCGGTCATTATAATGGAATAATGTATTGTGACATAAATTGATAAAAGTGTGAAATATTTTCAAGACGAGCGCATTCATTGTCATGAAAAATGTGGTCAATGCCTTCCTATATATAAGATAAGCAAAGAAACGATATTAATTAAATCCTTAAAACAAACTCCACTTATTTTGGACATTAAAACAATCATAGCATATACGGTAGATACATATAAAACATGTGTGATTTAAAAGGAAAATGCAAGAAGGTGTTCTTAGTCAAGGTGGAATTGAATGCTTATAATTGATTTAAAATTGTTTTTGTCTTGCTACACGAATAAAAACTTACTTGGAGTATTAGTGAATACAGGTGGTAGATTCTCTGTTACTCTTAAAGTGAACGTTTCCGTGTCGTCTGTACCATACGCATCGCTACATTTGATCGTCATTGTATACCCGTTGTCTAGGTCATAGTTCAAACAAGCAAATCCTATGTCACAGAGAAAGTTAGCATCGATGTGCCCACAATTTGGGTTTTGACATACTTTCTTATATATAAACCAAGCTGAAATAAATATAACTTTATCTGTGATTACGTCATCCTAATAGAGCGTATGTATTGTATCTAACGATGAATAAATTTAGATTGTGTGAATTCATTTTAATTAATTGTTGAATGGTACGAGGGACGGTCAGAAAATATCCAGACTTTTCATGCTCCTCTCTTTTCACGTGCAGCTATATACACACATTATATATTGGTGAAAACTACATTAATTCGCCAATAACGTTGTCAGTTTATTTTCAATGATAGTTGTGTATACACAGTATTTTGCCCTCTGATATATGATAGGTGTTTCGTCTATCATGGACTCTTTGTTAGAGGAACAACGCTCTGTAATAATGTTTCTGGTTGCAGAAGGTGAAAAGCCCTGTCACATCTCAGAGGCTTAAAAAGAGATTTTTCTGATAAATGTGTACACGTTCAACCTTCTAATCAACTGTTTCTTAGTTTCGTAAAGGCAGAACAGTGTTTGTGACAGGCCTAAGACTGGGCGGCCAGCTGAGGCGGTGAACCCAACAATGGTAGCAAATGTTAAAGCTTTTGTCAACAAAAATCGTCGAGTAACTTTGGAGGAGGTAGCCAACAAGTGTAGCATCCGTAAGGCATCGGCACACAAGATTTTACACGAACACCTAGGCATGAGCAAGGTAAGTGCCAGGTAGGTTCCTAGACAGCTGTCCGCAGATCAAAAGGCAACCAGAGTAACCGATGCAAAAGAACATTTAAGTCGTTTTAATCGTGAAGGAGATAAGTTTTTGAACCGCATTATCACTGGAGATGAGATGTGGGTTCAATATTCCGAACCCGAGACAAAAGCTCAGTCAAAGCAGTGGAAACGAGCTGGTTCCCCACCTCCTAAAAAGTTTAAGCTGTTTCTTTCGGCTGGCAAAGTCATGCTTGTTGCCTTTTGGGATTCACGAGAATTGATACTTACTCATTTCATGCCAAAAGGTCAAACTGTCACCGCCAAGTACTATTCTGAAGTAATTCTGAAAAACCTCAGAGAAAAGCTGAAGCAAATGCGTCCCAGGTTAGCACAGAAAAATGTCCTCCTTCTTCACGATAACGCCCCCTCCCATACCGCCCATACCGCCGCAGCTACAGTGGAGGTTATCAACTCTTATGAATGACAATTGTTGTTTCACCCTCCTTATAGCCCAGACCTCGCCCCCTGTGACTTTTATTTGTTTCCAGAACTGAAAAAAATTGCTTGCTGGAAAGAAATATAAGACCAGGGAGGCTTTGATATCTGCTGTTACACAGTACCTAAAACATAGGTCTACGCCACGGTTCACAGCGGGAATACAAAAGCCCCCACGAAGATGGCAAAAGTGCGTAGACGTAGGTGGAGAATATTATTTAAAAAAAGTAGAAAGATTTTTTTTTAATGTTGAATGGTTTTCGAGAACGAGTCAAAAGTCCGGATATTTTCGTATATTATATTAATTGGGTGGTAAATAAAGTTAAAAAATTAATTTTGAAATATTTTATCTCAGAACATGCAGAATATACATATATTTATTTTATTATTTTATTTATTTATTTATTTCTTAATTTATTTATTTATTTATATATCTGTCTATTTATTTATTTATTTATTTATCGTTTTATTTATTTATTTATTTATTATATTAGAACTATTGATTTAGATACTGATATAATTGACATGACTATACTTTAACTACATTCTGTACTGCATTGTTATAGGAATACTTACAGTTATAATTGTAGTTTCCGTTATGGGTTAATTCAAGGAGCGTCGGTTCTTCATTGGTAATAACAACACATGTGACGTTGTCATGATCCGGATGGTTGTAGTCATAGGTGATTATACTGTGAACGAGAGTCCGTGCATCGGTGTCTTCATGAATATTTCTGCTTGTAGGTAGACTTGTTATGGTAATGGGCTGCAAAAAAACAATATCAATTTCGAATTAAATGTGCTAAATACACGCAGAATAAATCAATCACATTAACTCAGCAGGTTAAACGTTAATAATATCAACAGTGAACAGAAAAGTTAAAGCATTACCCAGTTTGTAAATGCTACTCGCATGGACATAGTACAGGTGCTGGAATAGTCGCACGAGTGTCCCGGATTACTCACTCTCACTACAATTGTATGAGTGGAATACGGATAATCTGGCCATACAGTTATGTTGCCAGTTGATGATAATACACCTGTTATAAAGAACAAATTATCGTAAGTTAAAAATAGTACACCTGTTACATTGACAAGATAAATGTACTTTCTTTTGACAACTGTAGTTTACGATCATACACGTGAGAAAAAGAACAAATTTTGATGTGTGACGATTAGGACATCTGGTATAAAAACAGTATTGCCGCTGGATGATAGTTTATATGTTATAAAGAACTGAAAGTTGGATGTTTACGATGTTTACGATAAATACATCTTTAATAAAGAATAGATGTTGTTAAAGAGAACAAAACATCTGCCAAATGACCATAATACATATGTTAGAAAGAAGAAAAGGTTGCCAGTTCACAATAATTACGCCTGTAATTAGGAACGAAATGTTGAAAGTTGACGATCATCAAAAAACGAGTGTAATGATCACAATATTGCCACTTGACAATACATGTAATACACCTGTTATAAAAACAAATATTGTTTTGCAACTGATACTGTTACAAAGACGTAAATGTCGCCAGCTGACAATAAAGAGCGAAGTATTGTCAAATCATGATACTAAAACAAATGTTCCCTGTTGACAATTATATAAAACACGTAATCAGCTGAATATACCCTTTATATAAATCAAACTACACAGCTTAGTGGTCAAATGTATGTTTGGTAAACATTAAGGGTCACAGCTTTAGCGTATTTTTTACAGGAATCTAAAACATGATAATAATTTTAGGAGTTCTATCATTGATGCTAATCATTTTTAATCAGATATATCTGTAGTATAATTTTATGCTATTATTATTACTTTTAATTTCATAATTATGATGCTAATTATAATTATCATTATCTTTCTTATCAATAATGATATAATCAACACCACAATCGTCATCGTCGTTGCCATCATCAACAACATATTCATCTTTATTTCCTTTATTTTCTTGTTATCACAATCTTGTTTTGCTTTATCCTTTTTTGATTCAATCATAATCAGCAACAACATCATTATCACCATCCTCATCAATATCATTTAAACCAGCGACTTTAACACCGGCATTTTTACAAGTTTTATCAATTACTAATCATTAAGTACTTATAACCTAGCTTTACCTGTATACAGATTTAACGATGCTTCATTCAGCGTGGATGACACTATGACAAAATTGAGATTTTGCCAAGTCGAACTTATTGCAGGGAAATGATCCGACGGTTGGTCATAGGTCATAGTTAAGAAAGTTCCACCAACTGGGAATTGGTCACTAAAGCTGCTTGTATCAGTCTGGCTATTACAGTTTGGTGTCTGGAAACATCCGTCTGTGAAAAAAAGAAACCGAACAAAAAAAAAATTGAATAAATAAAAGGCAGCATCAACAGCTGAGTCAAACAATTACCTTGTGCCCCAGAGAAAGATATAATTTAACAAAGACATAAAATTAACGACAACAAAACACCTTAAAATTACTATAAAAGTCTTATTTAACGTTATGTTATTAAACGTTATCGTATCTTAAACGCAGAGGGTGGACGCACTATGGTTCCCCGGCCTTAAATATCTTATCTGTTGGGCAAAATTTAGAGAGAAACGTCAAAATAAGTTTCTACTCAGGCTTTGGAGATTATCAGTACCTTTGCAATAAAGTTTAAAACCATGAAAAAGCTGCTAGTGTGCCTCAATATCAGACTACGTTGACGGCTTTGAATATTAAATAGCCATAATAGCAATATCCTATAACAACTAAACCGTCATGTGATATTTTGTCTCAGTGACAGCGTTTTGCAGGTATCATACCCATTCGAGTGTTTGCCAAATGTCTTACAAATTAAAAGACAGAAGAACATAATATTAACTGGCTTCTTTTTGCAAATGCTTGTACATGTATATGTATATCTTATTACAAAAATTGGCGAATATGTACAAACTTGGTAGGTTCTATATACTGCTATATGTGAGATATCGGGGCTTCCGTGGCCGAGTGGTTATGGTCGTTGACTACAAACCACTTGCCCGTCACCGCTGTGGGTTCGAGTCCCGACAAAGACTTTGGATTCTTTCGTGTGAGGAAGCTATCCAGCTAGCTTACGGAACGTCGGTGGTTCTACTCAAGTGCCCGTTCGTGCCTGAAATAATGCACGGAAGTGTTCCTGAGGTCTTCCTCCACCAGCAAAGCTATATAGTCACCATATGACATAGACTGTGTCGGAGTGACGTAAAACCCAATCAAACAAACAAACAAATATGTGAGGTAACACTGGGTTGCTGGTTCGGGCCTTGGTGACATTTTTCAGCGATGATTCATCCTAAAAATTGAGTCTAATGGTTATTTGCCTCAGAGAAATTATATGGGGTTATAGTAGTCGATCACTTGCACAAAAATTAGTTATCAATTTTGAATTATCCAAAAAAGCCGATTAGGTGGACTGACCGCCAATAATTGATAAAAAATATATTGAAATCGGAATACAGTGTATATACCAGAGAAATAAAAATAAATAACACTCAGACTTACCGAAACTAATGGTCATTGTTTTACATGATTCTTTGCGCCGGGTGTATATACATACACGAATTGTGTAGGTATAGTCGTATTCTACAGCCGGGTTAGTAGCCACATACACTTGACCGTTTGCTGTTACAGTATAAAAATCTCTTATCTAATTTCTTTACAAGAAAACGTAAGTTTAACAAAACTATAGTCTTGACAACTTGAAAAAATAACCTTTTTTTCATTTCAATTTGTTCCTTATTTGTTTTGACATTTTTGGCCAAGTGATTATTATCGACACGTTTCAAGAACTTGCTTCTCATTTATACTGGTTCAAATCCCGACACTGACTTTATGTTTGGACAAATGTCTTATCTCAATCCGTTTGTAGACCTTATTTGCCTGCATAGTTGTATTGGGGTTTCTTGTTTTAAGCAAAAAAAAACATTTAAAAGATTTAAATTGCGTGTCCTCTATTAACATTTAATGTGTACATTATTATTTATGTAAGGCCTAACGCAATACGTCATCTCTTTCAAAACAATAAACGAAATTGTCATTAATGCTGCAACTCACTCAGAAATAAATGACTAGACTACTGAATGTATGTTTTGTTTGTTCTATGACAAATGAACAGTGTGTAACTTGTAACTAAGTCGTTTGCCCTCTCTGATTACTTATGACGACAGCAGATAATCAATGTGTCTGAAATGTACGAAAGACCAGTTGGCAAAGTTCAACTTCTTGAATTCTCGATAACATCTTTGTAGATATGTCATATTTTACCTGTATTTAGTTCAAACATATTGACGGTCCCAATAGAGTATGTATTCACGACTGCAGTAGGTTTTGTGTACTCCACAATTGGTCCACCGCTCGATTTTGACGCCGTCGCAAGAACAGTTCCGGAGCTCATAGAATTATCCGCATTGACAGAATCTGATGAGAATTCACATTTACTATTTAAAATGTGGAGGACCAAAGAAGGTAATCATTTGAAAAGAAAAGATTGACTCTGCAAGATGTTAAGTCAAGACCACATGTTTGTTATAAGAAATTTAAAACATCACTAAATATACTTTTGCTTAAGCAAAGGAAAAGGACTGTTCTAAAGAACAAGGGTAACAATGAAGAGACAATAACAATCGTTTAATGTTCCCTGAAGATATCCGATGTTTATTGGGAAATTAAAAGTAATTACACAGAAAAAATGTAAGAAAATGGAAATTTATTATGATTTAATAATAAAACAATACAAAACATTTTCACAACACCGATTACGTCACGCTATGTTCCTTTTTGTTCTGATCAAAGAAAACAACCGTTGCGGGACTTTGATACCGGAGTATAATGTAAGGTTTGCATAGAAAGAATGGGATATTGTTGTATGGTCATGAAGTGAAAAGAAAAGTTAAATATTACAGGAATAGAACAGTCGCCGAATCCTACAGAACTAACGATGTTGAAAACTCGATTATTACAACACATGTAGTACGTTTTAAATACAGAAGCAAGACTTGCTGAATAGTACGAGTTTAATTATTGATGTTGTTGTTTTTGTTGTTTTACAAAATACAAACCTGGAAGGCTAATAACCAATGTCGGTGTTTCTTCTACGACATTAACGGTAAAAGTAGATGTTCCGTCATCATTGTTGTCGTAGGAAGTGGTATAACACTGAACGATGAGATTGTAAGTTGCTGGACCAGTCATACACCCGTTACTGGTAGAACATGCCGTACATGACGCACACGCACCACAACTTGTTGCTGAACATGCTGATTTGCGTATAGTGCTGCCTGAAAAGTAACATTGCAAGATATGTAATGTTTTATACACATTAACATTATATATGCATAAGAAAGAAGACAATTATAACACGGGAAAAGTGTCGCCAACGGAGCCGTCAGCCAATACTTACATTGTCTTGTTAAAGATTAATATTTTATTCAATCACCATCCGTAGGATGTGATATCTATTTTTTCATAATACCTGAAATAGAAAGGTATCTCAACTGTCATAACTAATTACAAAACCTGGCATCTGGCAGGCCGTGAACGGTTCCATTATGCCGCCATGTAGCCCCTCTGACGTGACAAAGTACCATATGGTAAATGAATCGAGGGAAGGAGGTATACGTATATAACATGATTACGTATTTTAAAGCAGCGGTTTGTTTTGTAATTCCCTCGCCATCGGAAAATCAAAGGGCTGCAAGCTCTGTCGTATTTTCTGATCTTTGCAATCTAAATCGTACTGTATATTTGTATGTATTTTCCTGTATAAATAGCATTTTCATTGGTTAAAATCATATTCATCCGCGTAATTTGTGATTGTGCATTTATTGACAATTCTATAAGCCAACGTTACTTTTAAACTTTGAATGCGTTGTAATTTGTTGGATACTTGCAACAAAATAAAAATATTTCTTTCTTTTAAATCGCTAGTTTTAAGCTGGTTTGAGAACTACTTGTTGTTTGGTTTGTCTTGAAACTTCTGTGTCAGAGATTGAATGTCAGCTTTGTATTTACTGATCTTCAATTTTTGTTTGTTTGTGTTTTTGTTTTATATTTTGGCTCATATGGAGACATGCGGCTTTAAAGCACTTCAGATCTATGATATTTAATACTTATATGTGATAAAGTGAGTGTTAACACACAATGTCATGCATTTATATAGTTTGTCTACATGGGTAATGGTCATAAAATTAGTACTTACCTGACCAGGAAAATAGCCCGGAATTTGGATTTGAAGACAGTGTGCATGTCTCGCAAGGCACAGTGTGTTGATCTTCGCCGGTTTTGAACAACTTTATACCAAAAACGTTGTAAAAGTAAGTGTTGGTGGACGGATAGCATGTAGCTGATACACCTGACCATAGATCAAGGGCAGAGTCGGCATTTTCATTTAAATTCAAAGTTCCCGGATGATTGTGGAAGGTAGGAGCTGTCTCTAAAAAGAAAACATTCGAGGACGTATAAAATTTTTATTATTATTATTATTATTATTATTATTATTATTTATGATTATTATCATTATTATTTTCATTATCATTTTATTATTATTATTATTATTATTATTATTATTATTATTATTATTATTATTATTATTATTATTATTTCATGTTTTATCATATATATTTTCTTATTATTGATATCATTATTTTTTTTATTTAAATTAGAGTATAAAAGCATAGAGCTAAGCCAATTTTTCCAAATAATTGTAATTTTCACAGTTAATTATCCAAATAATCCACAGCGTTTTCAATACTTTTGGGACATATACATCCGATGAAAAATATGCCAAAATTGTCGTTTATTATAATATAAAGGCGCAATAGAAATATCTCACCTGATAGCGACATCATCATAAAAATATATAACCAAAAAACCAGATATGACATATTGGTATCCACTCCTTTCTAATTCCGTATATGGTTTATTATCAAATATGCAGAATAAAACTAAAGAAAAAAATAATAATCACATAGCAAGATGTTTTGACATGATTGATATCTATACTTAATTAAACTGAACAGTGGCCTCCTTCCAATTAAAAACTGTCATTTCATTTAGTATATAATAATAGAAAAAATCTATTTAAAGAAAATAGTGTTAATTACATAATTAGACATACCATTTCTCAATGTGTTAAACCAGCAATGCAATCAAACATTGTACAGTTTGACTAATGATTTGTTTGTTTGTTTGTTTGTTTCATTTTACGCCTTTTTCCAACAGTATTTCAGTCACATAGGCGGGTAGTTTCCTAACCATTCGTTACTGGAGAGTTACACCAGTACTAGACTACCTTCCTACGCGCTAAACTACCAAAGCATCTCCCGGGGATCGAACCCACGCCAGAGAGGTTGACTGATGATAATAAATAAACAAAACAATAAAAATTTAACGTACATTTACAATAAACATACCTGCACATGGAACCAATAGGAGAATTGTTGCCAGGAAAGTATACATTATAAAAGGTTTCAAAATTCCGTGTTTGAATCTGTAAAAATAATTAAATTACTGAAATATAAAAAGAGATTCTTTGAATTTCTCCAAAAATGGTAAAATTGAAAATATTGCTGGTTCGGTTTCATTGACCTTGTTCGTGGAAGGTTGTGGACAGAACTAGCTTCCGTTCACGCCCCCTTGCACCGGCTACAGTCACAACTGGTTTAATGAAGTTACTTATTCGAATCAGATTCACTCTTTGCTACTAACAAAATTTCATTCTTTCAATCTTTACATATGTAGAACCAATAACAAAGGAATGGTCGTCTTATCTTCTATCTATGTTTCTTCTTCTTCTAAATGCATCTAAATAAAGAAATACGTTTTGGCGTTCACTTATGTTCTTTAAAATTTATGCGTTGCTATTTATTGCATGTTGATAAAAATTAAATGGAGATATTATGACTGTTGAAATCATATGATTTAATCGTTATCTATAGATATGTAAAATATTAAATAAAGTTTTCGCACACTTATTAACAGTGTATATAGCTCGTGTTTGGAATTGATGGCTTAAATTGCAATTTTTGATATCGAAAAAGGATTAATGTACCTTTTTTAAATCATTAACATCTGCAGAAGCACAAGGGCTCAATTCTAGCGCCAGAACGCAGGGCAATAAATAATTTAAAGGCCGAGACCTTTTACAGATGTTAAGCACGAAAAACGATTCATAAGCGATATTCTTGCATAAAAAGATACGTTTGATCCGGTAACTAAACGTTTAAATGTGCTGTTAATGAGTGACCATGATTTGTCAGAAATGTTTTAATTATATTAGTGAGCTGTTACATAGCACCCTGAGACACGCATATATAAAACAATCTGCTACACCAAGCTTTCTTTTATCCGTTAATGCTTGTTTGGTTTTCTCCGATAAAGATATTCTATGCTCAAATTTTAAATTTTTAAATATTAATAATTGCTACAAAGTTTCTTTGTAAATAGAGATTAAACTTGTTTTGAGAACACACAAAGAAGATATCTTATGTTTTAAACTCTCGACACTTTAGGTGGACACAATAAGAATATATAGTGTCATTGAAACGAAACTGACAGTTTTTTTAAGAAAGGGCCACTTTCTCTTGACTTGTTATATAATATATGCAGCTTCCCATACACAGTTTTTGTATTCTTTATTTAAATTAGACATATTCAGAAAGTATAACATAAATTTTAATTAATTTCTGGGATAAAAAATATTTTACTCCTAACTTGAGCATAGTATATCATTAATTTATACATGAACGCAATTTTTTACGCAAAAATTAACGTTAAAATGATATAACACTATATTAAGTCGGAAAAGTCGCATTTAATAAAATAATATCATTATTGAGTACAGAATCCATTTTTTTATAATAAATTACGTTATATAATGGCAATGTATATTTTAGAGAATCAGGAGAAACTATTTTACATTAAATTTTGCGAGCACAAATAAGATTACATTTCCATTTATAAAAGAAAAGCTCATTTCAGTTCAGCTTAGAAAACTGTCAAAGTGTTGAAATAATTGAAAAACTATTAAACTTACCTGTATATTTTCAAAAATAAAAATCGTATTTTTCAGCAAAAGTTATATTGCTGTTTGAAACATCCTTCCTACCATGATATCTAAAAGAAAATGAAAATATATTTTACTATGTATTTTTTCAATTGTAATGTAATTGCGCTGATAATTTTCTGTTTGAAAGCAATTAGCTATTCGTTAACATAACTGCATAATCATGCCTATTTTGTAACTGTTACATGGATTACTTGGATCTTTTTAAGTAAAATTGCAGGACATTACAAGGTTTGGCCTAGTTATAATGACAATACCTTGTGTGCAAATCCAATACTTATTATCAGGTACAGCACATTTTACATAAAAACATAAAATCATGAAAAAAGTTGAAAATTGAAGGACAAACCGATATGAATGCATTAGATTTGAAGGTTATAACATGCCTAAATAAGCTATATTTATACGATCATTCATTTATTAGTGGGGTTTTTTTAAACCTTTTTTCTTCAATTAACTTTTTCTGGTTTCGATCATACTAGCACTACCTGTGTTAGGAATCCCCAGATGACAATTTAGTTAAGTACTTTTAACATGAGCAGTGACCCATAAAGCGGTAAAATCATATCTTTCCCTATTTAAAAGCTTCATAATATGAAATAAATCAAATTCTCTGGCAGTAGGGGCAAGTAATTTGAGATTGGTTATCGTATCGGTACCACCTTCAAGCGGAGGCCACAATTTATTTTCCAAATTTAACTTCATATAGATTGCATATATAAAATGTAATAAATCAAAATGGTCACCAGACTCTCTGTGTTTTGACGTACAGCAGTTGAGCAGAAAGATCGAGGTAAATCGGGCTTAAAAAAATAAAGTCGGAAGCCTAATACAAGTCTTAAAAAATGGACAATTGAGACCCATCTTAAGAGAATTGACAACAACAGTAAAAGGTGAAAATCTCAGACATGATTGAGTGATTGTGTTTATATTGTGTAATAGAGACTGAAATACGCAGTATGTCTAACGAAATATTATGAAATATGTCGTGGCCACGATTTATAAAGTCGTGCGCAAGAGATTATTAAGTACATATGTATGAGCACGAAAGACTATATCGTGGCCACGAATAACTAAGTCGTGCGCACAAGATAATTCAGTCGTGGGCACGAGATAATATGTATATATATTGTACTCTGATTGGTTAAATATCTCGTGCGAACAACTTCATTATCTCGTTTGCACCACGTAGTTACTCGTGTTCACAACTTATTTTTCTCGCGCACCCGACTTAGTAGCTTGTGGCCACGTCATAGTATCTCATGCGCATGACTTAATTATCTTATACACAAGACTTAGTAACTCGCGGCTGCATCATGGTATATCGTGCGCTCAAGATAAATAAGATAATTAAAAAAATTCACATAACACCTCTGTGTCACCGTAATTAAGGTAGACCATGGGTAATGGGCACCATAAAGAACTGTAAAATTGACAACATAGGTCAGTTATATGTCTTCAAGGTCACCTGTATGCAAAATTTAAATAAAATTTACCGTGTGGTTTATGAGTTATGGATATATTTCTGAACTAAGACCTTGCCATTTGAAGGACTTATTTTCAGAAATGAGGAAACTTTAAATAATCTGTAATATCATCATTATAAAAAATGTTTTTCTATTGCTCATTGTTAAGAAACAAATAATAACATTCAAGTAACACATTACACAACCAAAATGTTTGGTTCTAAACAAAATGTTCTTAAAATGTATAAAAATGTAACCCTACCCCACCCACTTTTAACACTAATTTTACCATTTCCCTATCTAAAATGCCTTATTCAAAATATCCCTAAAATTTATCGAAATGAGGGTATGTTTTCAAACTTTGCCTAAATTTTTTCAAAGGTATATTAGTTGATCATGCGAAATATAAAATACTTTTACCGTGTAGTTTTTATTTTATCGAACTTTGAAAATATCTGGTATCATATTTGTTATATATTTTGGCATTATTTAACCAAAAAAATACTTAAAATAATTATATAATTAAAATCAAACTTTTTTTCTTCCATAAGGGATCAGAGAGATACATAAAAAAATGTTAAAAAGAAAAAAAGAAAGAAAAAAAAAGTTGCCCCTTCTGGGGTTTGAACCCACGCCCCTCAATTTCAATGTAGTTTACAAGCGATTCTAGACTATTTTAATACTCTTCAAAGTGGAGGTAATGCATTACCCATGGTCTACCTTAAGTATCTTTTTTGTTCAATTATTTTAAAGACATGAGATAACGCAGTGTTTCTTACTTCTTTCTTCTTTTTTCATACTCACCTGTTAAATAATGTTAACGGGTGATTAATTGTCGTAATAGAGGTATTTCCATTATATCTGATGAACAGACATAAAAAACAAGATTTTCATCTTTCAGTTTATTTGTTTTGTTTTGTTTTTCGGTGCACTTTAGAGGGTTCTGTTATTTGTTACTTTTCAATCGTCACCGTTAAAAGTATTTGCAGTAATTGTTTGTGAAAGATCATCGATATATGTATGTGTCACCAGTACATAATATAAAGGCAATTTTCATTAAAACTCGAAAAACCTGAAAAAATACCAACGCCGAGAAGAAGTTTAACATGATTTTCCAAATCAACAATCAAAGCAGGTCAAGTGTATTATGTTTGTGTGCTAAATAATAAATTATTCTAGTTCAGACATAATTAGACATATTAGCAGTTGCAAAAATAGAATGTCATTCCTTTAAAGCGGAGATAATCGACATCGTTATTACCATAATTACAATAACAACTCTAATTTGCTGAATTAACATATTGAAAGTTAATTGGAGTGGAAGACTTGTAGTACACGTGTTCTTATCGAAAATAGAAGTGTCTTAACTTTATAATAGGCCTTATAATACTTGGGTTGCCGTCAGAAGTTTTGAGTTACATAGATGACTGTCACAATCTTTGAAAAAAAAGTGTGAACCATACTCTAGCAATGAGTCAAAATAGTAAAACCATTAAAATGAAAAGAATAGCGTGGTCGAAAAGTTGCTTACTATTTCAGCAAGTTAGTTTAGTTGCCGAGTTCGTAGTAAACAGTGGTATTTACAGCTTCGCACGACTCCAAAATTTATGTAAAAAGTTTTGTACTTAACAAGGTACATGTAAAAAAACTTTATCTTATAACTACAGTTACCTTCTTTTTCGGTCACTGTCTCTTTTATCAAGGTGTATTTTGGATTGTTACGATATTTTGTCATTTATCATTGTTATGCTGAAATAAACCGTTTGTCGTTTGTTGCAGACGAAATACAATCACATAGATTAGCACTTGATGATACATTCTTTTATTTAGTATCCTGAACATGTGTAAGAGATAATTCGTCCAAGAATAATATGGATTTGATATGGATATTGCACTCGTAAAAGGAAACGAACCTAGTTAATAGAAACAGCATTGTACCAGTTTGACATTATTTTGTACCTTTTTTATGTATCTTAAGAAACTGAAGGAGTACAATTTTGATTTAATACCATCTAATTTTAACTGAAAACAAAATATTCTTCCAATTAATTTATTTTCTTTTATTTTACACATTTACATACTTCAATTAAAATATCCAATAGCTATTTAAATAATGACAATATAAATATAATTATCTTAACTTAAATTTTCATTTTGTATTATTTTGGAAACAATTTGTACACCATTTCTAGTTCTTGCTCGTATCTGACAATTAAAATTGTATTAAAATCATCTTTGATTACTGTAGTCAATGAACATCTTGTTCCTTAATCGGGTATTGACAAAAGAGGTATCTAATTTTATATTATTTAACTTGCTTTTAACATTTTAGTTCTTACTACTTGTAGTTATCGCACTAACCAAAATGTTAAGTGTTTTAACTGTAAAATTGAAGTATCTGAAGAACTTAATTTCCTTGACTGAAAATAATATTTCCTGAAATAGAAAACGACTTTCCTTCCAAGAATTTTGACTATTCAAGGGTCATTTTGTTGATTTCATACCCTGTAATGTCCTTGAAGATAATGATGCATTGAAAACATGTGCATACTCTACCTAAAGAAGCACCTGGACTTATGTCAATGATTTTCTAGATGATAGAGTACGGTTTAGCATTACCATAGAAAGAAGAGACGCAGTCTACAAAATAACATTTCATTTTAAGTCTAAAGTTATTGCAAAAACATATAATTAATTTGCAAACACCATTTCTCAGAAGCATTTATAATAATTATGTTAATCTTTATCCGATCACTTTCAATGGTCGCCTCGCTTCAAATCGGGTGAATGTAATCCGTTGTTAAGTCATTTTCGTCACTTCCTATTGATTCTTGTCTAGCCTGATTGCCACTTGATTGTCTGTCTGATTCGCTGCCTTCTGTCGTGCTCAAGTGACTCCCTATATCCAGATAGCCAGTGCTTTCTCTTCCCATTTCGGCATCATTACAAACATCTGTTTCATGAAATATAGTATCATCATAAATAGCTTCAGGACGGCTATAAGTTTGCAAGTCTTCATAATCATCTACCGGTTCTATGTCACCATTTCTGTTATTCCTAAGATATATATATAAACAAATCCGTAGATGTATATAAACATAATTATTCCAATCTGAAACGGAATAGATCCATAGTATTAGGTAAAAAATAGACGCTGGTTTCTTACAGTATTCAAGATCTTGTGTTATAATGAAATTTTATCAATAAATAAAATGCGACATAATATCATATCATTCAACTATTCATCAGGACAAAATTTTCTCTACATTGTATATTATTTGTTAATGAAAATGAGGAAACGGGTATGATTATGAAGTAATTACTTCAAATCTTGCACTGTCAATTTCCATTACCTGTTTATCTATGTACTAGTATAGGAATATCTAAAAAAGAACAAGAAATAAATTTTTGGACACTATAACAGTGAACAGGGGCAGTGTTACAATAAAAGACAACGATATTTTAATGGCAAATGAAATTATTTTGTGATATTTCACGGAAGATTCAATTTTCAGATAAAGAAATGATTTGGTTCCAGACATATCGAGATAGAACCGACAGATCCCTTACGTGTTTTACAGCTAAAATTAACAGTGTAATCAAAATGTCTTATAATTACTTTTGATTATTGCTTCCATCTTTATTTTCACCTTTTGTACCTGAAAAATATTTCAAAATGTTATCTTTTTATTTCAAATACATCACTACTTATTTGTGTGTATTTTTTTATTAAGAAGACACTAATCCCTACCTATAACCATTTTACTTCTGTTTATCATTGGTTTGAAATAAAGCAAGCAACGCTAAAAATCTGTAAAGTACTCTGAAAGCACCTAATTCCGTGGGCATGAGCTTTCGTTATTTTTTTACAAAAATCTGGAGAAAGGGTGATCCTTCAGAAGGATTAATCACAACAAAATAACATGAAAAGTGCAGACTATGTTTGTTTAAGTATGTACAATAGAGATAATGAAAATGTGCAACATCTCTCACGCACCCTAACATCTACTCGAGTTCTGAAATCAATGATCCCGAAGGACCAGAAAAATATAACAACACTGAATTATATGTTGTTCTGTTTATTCAAATTCATGGATTGTCTATTTTTTCCGAAAAATAAATTGCAAATAATGAAATACATCACACGAAATGTAATTTTCTTGGATCTTTAATTCGTGGATTGACATATCCAGGAAAACCACAAAAATACGAGCCGCGCGAATTATAATGTTTTGGCAGTATTGCTTTCTTCAGTTTAACACAAAAATTCAAATAACTTATATATTTTTGTCTGTACTAAATATATACCTTATACATTTACAATGTATTTAATGAATACGATACACTATAAAATGTAACAATACAAATCAATATTTATTGGATACAATATTTTCTGTGCATACATTTGCTGCAATTGTCTAACCGTCGCTGCAACTATATAAAAAGATTATGTTTTGCTTTAAAATTTTACAAAATATGCTAATTATTTTCTTCTTTAATTTTAGGTACTTGTTTTTTTTTTCAATTTACTTTATATTTAAATGCTAAAGAGGAAGTGATGAATCTCGTTCAAAAATTTGTTTAAATTTTAAAACATTATTAAATCAAATGTTGACAAAGCACTTCTAAGCCTTGTACCTCTTACCTTTCGATGATGCGTTTCTCATTCGTAATCTAAAAATATATACACAAAAAAGCCCTATGATAACGATTAGAGCAGAGGCCAGGCCTGAAACGAGTTCGACAGTAGGAAATTGTGTGCCTTCTTTTTTGACGATATTAGCTGGATATGAAAAAATGGAAAATAATCAATATAAATGCATTAAAGAATTATAGCTAAATGTTTAGTTTGTCTCTTTTTGATAAAAGTTCGGATTAGATAAATTTAAATAAATTGTGCCTGTTAATATCTTGAAATAGTAAGTTCACATATCGTAACATTCAAAATCTGTCATACATGTCCCGAAACGATTGAACTATAATAATAGTTTCATTTAGATTTTTTAATAACTGTTTGATTGTAAATGTTAAAGTAATATTATTTGATCAAATAATGTGTAAGTTACCACAATTGTGCAATTATGACTGCACAAAAGCAGCTTGATAAATTTGCGTTTGAACGCTTATAATTCGTTTCAAATTGCCTTCGATTTTTCTTCACTTCTAATTTTACACCTTAAAGTTAAACAAATACAAGACAGTTTGCTGTACGTACAGAAGTTTATTGTCATTGTTGAACAAGAGGTTTGTCGACGGCTATGTATACACACTCCAATAGTGTACGTAAAATCGTACTCTTCAGAAGGATCTGTTCTAACATACACTTGCCCGTCGGCTGAAAAAAAGTATTAAAATCAGTCAGTCAATATTAATGTATAGTTTATTCAATAAATTATGATAATAAGAATCTACATAGAAATGTTTGTAAACAATTTATGACATTATTTTTCGGATGTATTTTAAGCTCTACTTTCCTTTAAGAAAACAAATGTGTATATTTTGTTTTTCGAACAGCAATTGTTGTAAAATTAAAAAACAAAATGGTGATGTTGTCTCTTCATTTGTAAATTAGTTTAGAAGGATCGTTTTAGCAGATGTTGTACATGCATTATAACGGTGATGAATTTTATTTAATAATATAATGTGCATTGATTGATTTAAAAGAAATGAATTACATTGAAAATGATTTTCTTTTAAATGCATGTACAAAACATGAAAAAAAATTGAGTCATTCATTATCCCTGCATGATTCCGAAGTGATTAGACTTTGCTACCAGTAAAGAGCCAGGTCAGACTGCATATCCTTGGTTCAGACTGGGCCTTATTTTGTTATATTTAGATATAATAGTTTAAATCCTTATAAAATTTGAATAGACTGCACCATATTCAAGGCAGGGTCAAATCATTATAAAATTTTAGAAAAAATATATGTATGTTAAAAATATATCGCTTATAAACAATACCAAATGATTCATCTGTATTTAGATCAAACATATTTGTTGTCCCTAGCAAGTATGAATCATCTACTGCAGTTGATTTTGTGAACTCTACACTTGGTGGACCACTTGATTTAGATGCAGTAGCTAAAACAGTTCTAACACTCATTGAATTGTCTGCATTTACAGCACCTGAGTGTAAACATATTTTTCTTATAAGCACACGTGAAGATCTGTGTATTACTTTTAAATACAAAGAAAATGTATTTATATCAATTGAAAGTCAAATGATTGATTTGACATTGTTAAATATTCAAGATCTATCAAACTGATGATCGAGCTTTGTTTGCTGCTGATTATCATATTTTATCACTCAATAATATAAACACTAAGCTTATATTTCAGTGTAACAACATACACAAGTTAAGACTGTCCCTCAAAACAGTGGAATGTAGAGGCATCCGTGATTTAACGACACAGTTCTAGCTTCCAAATTTTTTACAATGATGTAACATTTCTGGATAAGCAACAATAGAATGAAGGCGAAAATGAAAAAGAACTATTGGATTTACAAAAACATATCCAACAAGAAATAACAACTGAAGAATTAAGATAATTAAAAAGATAATGCCCCTTCTTTGAAATAGTACTATAATTTATCGTAGTACAGTATCTCTTTTCATTTAATTCAATAAAGTGTTTAACTTTATAAACGCCATTATAGCATTCCATTTAAATAGAACTTATTTAATAAGTGCACGGATTTAAAGAATTAGAATTAATTAAGTTTACAATAGAATAATGAACTCTTTATATTTATACATAGTAGTGTTTTTAACTATTTCAAATCAATAATTCAAATGAAGCTTACAAAAAGGTTAAGTAACATAAGACCCCGAACGACTGCAAGTTTAATCTATATTATACCTGGAAGGCTAATTGCTAATGTCGGTGTTTCTTCTGACACACTAACGGTAAGAGTAGATGTTCCAGAGTCATCGTTGTCATAAGAGGTCGTGTAACACCGAACATCAATATTGTAATAAGCAGGACCAGACATTCACCCAGTGCTAGCAGCACATGACGAACATGACGGACAACTTCCACAGCTTACTGCCGCGCATGCTCTCTTGTACACTGTGTTCCCTTTTGCAAAATATTAAATAAGATGGTAACATTTATTTAAGATTGTATGTTTGTACGTATCCATTTTTTCTGTCCAATTTCTTACAGACAAACACTTGTTGTGTTTATAGTGTTTTAAGAGATTTCACCATTACATTTGTACGTGACATCATCAAACTAGTAGTGTTTGTCACCGGTTTACAAAGATAAAATGTTGAAACTCAATTCTTTCTTTTTAGTGACTTTCCAAATGTTATGTATTTTGGAATCAGAAAATTTATTTTCGGACCTTATACATGCTGAGCCTTTTATGTGACATATTTTTCCATTTAAATCTTTTAGATTCTGAAAACTTTTCATCAAGCAGAATTTATTTTCAATGTTCGCTCTATATTTCCGTTTGTGACTCATGATTCCATTTAAAAAAAAACTTTCAACTAACGGAAAAGATACTCTACTTAGTAGAAATCTCTATTTCATACAAAAAAGTTGTTTTCTTGATACATAAACTTAAATTACACAAATGAATTTATTTAAAAATTCGTTAATTAAAAGACAATTTAAATGTTTAGACATAAGTGTATGCAGACATAAATTATTTACCTGACATGTAGAAAAGACCACTGTCTGGGTTAATAGAAATTTTACATGTCTCACATCCTACTGTATGCGTTATTACACCAATCTGTACTTCAACTCCAAGAACATTTATATATTGGTCGGTTGAAGGATAGCATGTGGCAGAAATGCTCCACAAAGTCTTTGTAGCGTCGTCGTTTTCGTTTAGGAACCGTGTCCCGGGATTGTTAAAAGATACCATCTCTGTAAAGAGTGGTTGCACCATTATAATAATTTAACCTTATGTTTTCACTCCTTTTTCGGAATGTTTTATAATAAAAGTGTTAATTTAGGCGAATTTTTATCTTTAAGATCGTTTTTGGCTTTTATTTATTTTACTTGAAAGGATCTTTATCAGGCCTGGTAAGATCCTATTCTAGTAAAAACACGGATCAAAAACAAGTTTCAAATCAAGATACTCCTAAAGAGTAATCACTCTACTATATTAGGAATTAAACGGCAATTCTCTAATACACGAAAACATTTAAAACAACCTTAGAGATGTCTTTCAGTGGTGTTTACAATAGATCGTTCCAGCACGATTTTATATGTCAATACAATTCCTCTTCGCTCTCAATGGGTTATCCGGAATTTCTAAATGTTTTTGAAAAGTGCAATAAAATATTTTTTTTTTATTTGAAAACTATTTCAATTAATTAATGAGTAAACAAACGAATTAATTGTAAATTGAGTACTTACCTGCATATTGAGAAAATATCAAATTGAACACCAGTACAATCAACATTTTCAACAAAGCTTTAAAATTTGGAAAACACACATCAGGCCTAGGTATACTGAGCAACGCTAACTTTCTTTTGACGGGTGTCATTTAAATATATATTGATCTTTCTTATTTCCATAGTTTGTACTTTATCTTGTCATGGCAGATTTGCTTACTCAATGTGATCGCCTTGATCTTTTTTATTACAGGTAAAACAGTTAAATAAATATGCAGAACAAATAACAAACATTCAAACACTGCGTAGGAAGACAAATGTTGAGAGTACAGGTAATGATGTTTCATGGTGGTAAAGAATATCAAAAGTTATCAAGCGATAATCTTAATGGTATGTGATTGTTACAGTTTAAAACTGTTTGCTTTTAAAAAAAACAATAGTTTCTAAGAGGCAAAAAGACTATGTAGAGCCACAGTACGGTATTCTAAGGTTTCGGGTTCAAATCCTGGTCAGGCTGCACATTTTTCTCACATTGTGACATTTGGCGCCAAACGAGGGACCGTGATGGTATAAAGCTCCAATTCCATTTTTCACACTGTTTTCTGTAACCATTTGAAATTCGAAAACGAATTTCAATCTTACGGGGCAGGATGTCACGGTTCAAAACTGTTCACTTAAAAATGTATATTGTATGTAAGCGGCAAAGAAGCTCACTCTGCAGATCCTCGGTACGGTATTCCAAGGGCCCCAGGTTAAAGTCCCGGTCAGGCTATACATTTTTCTTACCTTGTAACATGATCGTCAATGTTATGCATTGATAAAAATAGTATTATTTGATAGAATGACATGATATACTTAGTGGTATTCATTTCATCTGATTAAGATCAAGATTATTAAAATGACATGAAGCACATCGGAGTATAAGTTATGAGGGTAAAGAAAATAATAAATCCAAATATTGCATTTTATTTTAGAATGTCTTTATTTTGTTGATTCATTTATATTAATTAATACATTCAAATACCGCCTCCCTGGTCGAGGGGTTAGAGTCGATGACTTCTAATCCAGTTACCTCTCTGTCGTGGGTTCGATCCCCGGGAGATGCTTTGGTATTTTAGCACGGAGGAAGGTAGTCTAGTACTGGTGTTACTCTCCAGGAACGATGGTTAGGAAACTACCCGCCTATATGACTGAAATACTGTTGGGAAAAGGCTTAAAATGAAACAAACAAACAATACATTCAAAGGAAGTAACTTGTACTTGCATAAATCAAAGATCAAGGGAGGTAATTTTGAAATTCGACCTTGTATCTGTCTGGCAGTATTACCCAGAATGCAAATCCATTTCAGCTTCATTTTCCTGCTAACTCTCAAGATAACATCAACCCACCCACCACACCCCTTTTAAATGAAAGTATGATTTAACATTTGTTTGTATCATAGTTTGGGGACATTTCTATTGAAAATATGTCAGAGTTAAATCGTATACATATATATGCACAGTGCGTTAACTGGAGTACAGGTATTAAGTACCCGCACTGCAGAGCATGCCCATTGAGTGGTTCATTGGGGTTTTCATATTGTGAAGACGGGGAAAGCGATAGAAATATCATATTCAGATGCTCGTTCATTGGTTCCTTTTTTCTGGGGTTTCATATTGTGACATCTCGATGCTCTTTGTATTACTTAATGAAATAACATAATTAGATCTATTCATCATATACATGTATCATTTTATTTGATTCTGCTGCCGAGTTATCTATATTTCAGAGAATTTCTTGCTACATGTTCGGTCAATGAGGTCTAACTAAACTCCCTTACAGCAACAAAAAGGTGGCAATAGATTAGATTCTTAAAATTGAAATGTTTAATAGTTGCTGTATAATGAAATGAACTTTAAAGTTATATGAAACATTATATTTGTAGTCATGACTACCTTTACTGTTTTGTCGCACCTTCTCGTAAATTCTAGGAAATCTAGTCTTTCGGAGGTCAATTCTGGTAAACAAACTACAAGTTTCTTGTATTCTATGAAGTTGGAGGTTGATAACTGCCAAAACCAGCACATAGAAACAATGTCTAACTATGTAGCGTTTACTAGAGTAAACAATTAGATTGCTTACTTGCTAAACTCGCTGTAAAATACAGAGGTAGGATGTTCTGTCCGCAGTGACCCGCGCATCCTCTAAATAGCTAGAATAACACATTATCGGGTTGCTAAAATATTGGTTGCTACATACTATGTTATCTGGTTGCTACATACTGGTTGCTATTTGTTGGTTGCTATACAAATTGTCTCTATTTGTTGCTAGTAATTAATGGAAATTACTGATAGGCCTCATTTCTACTGACTGAAATTTTTTACATGTTGCGGCCAAAATCATTCCATCCTATCACCAAACTACGAGAATTGGAATAAATTTAGTAAATGTAAACCTGAGTTTTTGTTGTATTTCAATATATGCTAAGTGTATTGGGTATTACCTATTTGTTTTTAACACATATTTTGATGTTAATGAATATTCATTATCCCATGTGGCATACGGAAATCATTAATATAGTCATAAATATCATTTAAATGTATCGGAAACGCGTATTTAATAAAATAAAGTGTTGCATTTCTTTTAAAATTTTAAACAGTTTTTACATATTATCAATACAATAAAATGCAATACAAATATTTTTATTTTGATATTGTAACAGATTACATAATACACAATTTACATGTATCAAAAAATAACATGTGAACGAAGAGTAGCATAGATATTTAATATGGGTAACAACATGATAAAAATATTTTAATTAATTATGTTTTGGATTTAAGTGTTTTTTATTCGATGGGGAAAGCGGACAATATTTGAAGTATTTATTTAAAAGCGGTAAAAAACCCAACATGATTTGAGTTCTTAATAAGCTAACAACAATAAAAAGTCAGTGAATTTACAATAGTCAAACATTGAATAAAGTAACCAATAATTTTATTAAAAACAAAATTTTTAATAATAACATTGTAGCACGGGGTTTCCGTGACTTATCTATAAATAGAACGTTTGATTCGTCGGTTGTAAACTTCCATTGAGACAGGCTATTCACAATTGCGTGAGTGTAATGACAATGAATGCAGATGTTTAAAAAAACAACAACATCAAAAACAGAATAACAAACACAAAACGAAAAGTAAAGAATTAAGTTAAGATTGGAATAGTAAGTATTAACAGGTATGTAAAATAAATCAGTCAATCTGATTGTTATCAATTGTAAATTGTTTCATGACAAATTTAACATATAAGCTAAGGTTTGTTAGGGTCTGGCTATCATTTGTGTTAAGCAGTTCCTTAAAGTTTAGTATATTTGGTCTAGTGCAGAATCTCTCTGGTATTAGCTGTCTATCTTTAGTTCTGAAAAAAGACATGTTAACAGATAATGCATCTCATCGCCAATGTCCCCCAAGTTACATTTCTGGCACTGTCTTTGCTCATGCGGTTTTAAAGACTGATTCCAACGACTCGTAACCACTGGAAACGATGGTTAGCAGTTCGGAAATGCAAAAGAGATAACTTAATGGGTGGGGGAGAATACTTTAATAGTACTCTACATTAAAACAGTTTTTAAACATACCATAGAGTTATCTTTTTGCGAGTTTTCTAGTTGTGAGAACCATTCTTGTTTATATTGGCCGATTTATGTTTGTTTATTTACCAATTTGTTAATACATTTAGCTTGGATATTATTTTCATTTAACCACAAAATAGAATTACCTGTTGAATTAAGTATACTTTTAACAAAGTTAATCAATTTAAAGTTTTGGTAAGATTGTATCATATACTTGTAACATATCTATGAAATCTTTGATTCTTTGGACTGATTTAATGTTTATTTCAATGGAATAGCGCTCAAGTTCAGCATATAACATGTAATCTTGCGTAAACAATTGGAATGAACTTGTTCTATGATATTTCAATTTTCAAACCCCCATATTTCACTTCCGTATGTAAGAATGGGAAGCACTGTATGGTCGAATAACTTTATTTGTAAGTTTAAGAGGTCAAGGTTTTTTATTCTCATATATAAAACATTCATGGCTTTGTTTGCCTGTGAAAAGTTTTTCCTACAAGCAAGAAAGGAACAAGAGCTAGAGAAAATAACACCTAGATACTCATATTCCATTTTACATTTTCGATTAATTGATCATTTATATTGGAAGTGTATGACTTGGGTTTATTTGTCCCGCAGACAACAACCTCAGTTTTTTGAAAGTTTATATTTGATTCACATATCTCAAAATATTTGTGAAAATTTTTGAGACAAGACTGAAATGATGCCTGATTTTCATCTATTATGGCCGTGTTTAAGTAATGCCAGTACTCTTCCGGTTGATTGGAGCTAAGCGCACGCAATTTACGTTTATTACTGTACCTGTGTTAACATATAAAGGTTTTCATGGTTTGTTTATGGTATTTACTAACAGATTGTAACATATCATGCTATTTTTATTTAACTGGTGTTCCTAAACAGTTGTAATTATCATTTATTTGTCATTTACTAGTACACTGGTGTATAATTATGTAGCTAATTTAGATCAACTTGAAAACGAAACAATGAGCAAAGTGTCATTTTAACAAATACAAAAAATGATAGTTATATGTAAGAGAAAAATATTATCATAAGTTTAGCAAAAGCATTACATGACTACTTATATAAGTGCATGAAATATTATGACACTAAATACACGATGCTCTTTTCATTCGTTTAGATAAGTACTTAAAATTTAACCATGCAAAAAGTCCTAAAAATATAATCTCAACGGGTTTCTTTCCTTTCAGCAGTGATTTCTAAACTGTGTCTATCCGCTGTATTTACATTTTTTTTCGCATTAATTAATTAAAACAGCATGTCCCGAGATTGGTGCTAATTTTCATGGTAAATATATTCCTGTTAAGTCACTTACGTCACTATCTTCTCTTGTTGATTAATTTTGTGCTAAATTGTTACCAGTTATGCTTGTATTTAGATATTCATTTGTTGCCACGTCTTGTGTTTCTGCTTCACTCTCATCTGCCGTGTGAGTTTCACTCCCGATATCCAAATGTCCATTTATTCCTCTACCCATTGCGGCATCAATATCAACCTCTGTTTCTTGGAAGTGTGTTTCATCATAAATAGCTTCAGGGTTGCTATAGGTTTGCAAGTCTTCGTACTGATTTACTATTTCTATCTCGCCGTTCAAGTGATTCCTAAGATTGATATCAACAACATTATTTCCATCTCATCAAATAAGCTCTTAAGTCACGTTACACGTAAGGATCTGACAAACACCTATAGGAGAACACATTCCCGTGACCTTTCAATCAGTCAATCAAAGCTGACCCTTTACGTTCTTGAAAGTGTATCAGTTTCATAAAGACTTGGGAATTAAATAAAATTTTAGAAACAAAAATAAAATTGCAAGCCATTTTAATTCACCATAGAAAACAAGAGAAATACTTTTTGATGTTGTTTTCGTTTTCATTTTTATCGCTCTCTTTTTTTTATAAATTTATCAACGTTTTTATTGATATAGTATATTAATGATTCTTCAATATTTCTTCTTTATTGCTGACTTTAAATGTAATTTAAAATAATAGGAAACAATTGTGCAAAACTAGTAGTAAAGTAACGCTGTTATCTGAAAGAAATTGAAGCTCCAACATTCTCAGATTCAGTGTATCCTTTTCATTTATTTTATTAACACACTACACTATATTGTTACATAAAACAATATATAACGGAATATAATTTTTGTGTGCACATATTTGCTAGTACGTTTTATGATGACTTCAACTAAATAAAAACAAAAATGTTTTAGAAACTTTTAAACAAAGAAACCTTACAGTGTATGCATAGTATTGTTGCTTTTTTTTTCAATTTATATTCAAACATATAAAGGTTGTAGTGAAGTACATGTATTTGATTTATACAGGTTGAAATTCATGGAAAAAATCATTGCTTTAAAATTATCAAATTTTGACAAAGCAAGGTTTTATCACTTACCTTTCGGTGATTTGATTTCTCATTTTAATTTTATAAAAACATATTGCACAAATGGTTAAAATTAGAGCAGCGACGGCGAGGCCTGATATGAGTTCGACTGTAGGAAAGTGTTTGTCTTCAGCTGAATATAAAAATGAAAAACAATCACAAATATAAATATTTAGTAAAGGCATCGATGTTATCTATTATCACATTTTAGTTTATAACAAAAAAGTGGAACCGTTTCGATTATGAACTGAATATGGTAAATAAGTTTATATCTATCATTATCATTAATCTGTTTCTGCTAAATATCATATTGTATTTAATTTCGTTGAACAAAGTCATTCTGTATTGATTGACAAACAAAATGCATGTATCGTTTAAGAAAATCCAAGTTGTTAAGTTCAATTACTACTTTTGTATTTATTAAAATGCAAAATTGTTTTGAGACCGATAGTACTTGATATTTTGCTTATTTGAACATTGAAAACAGAGAAACGGAAAAATTACCTGGTAATGAAATGTTTATCATTAAGAATGAGCAGACTATATTTCGCCTGTCACTTCCACAAAAGCGCACTTCATAAGATCCATTCAATGCAGTAGTTTCTAATTCGGTGTACTTGAATGTTATCTTTGCAGGGTTATCTGTAATGAAATATTTTCTGTAAGTGGCACCATGGTGCGTTCATAAAGTTTTATAAGATTTATAACGTTTTCTTTGATTCGTGCTTGATTTCCAGTCTCTCATTAGACGACTCTACTTGTTTGCATATAATTTAGGCTTGATCTCATACATAAGTGATCTGGTCGGCTTGAAGTTCTCATTATCAAAATTATCAATACTTGTACGTCCATTATGCTCTGCTTTGGTAACATATGTTAAAACCATGATGTTAGTATAAGTTTAGACAAAGGTTTACTTTGTTTACGAACGGTAAACATAACTCTAACGTTTTCAGCAATATTCCATCAATTATATCGATGTCCATTTTTACTTTAAAACATACATTTGCATTCAATTGTGTTATGTTTAAGTTTAACAACACAATAACATGTATTTAAAGGAGAGTACCGCTTTAAAAATTATTTATATAAACTTTGTTTTGTATTGCATTACAATTGTTTTGGATACAATCTTACTGTTAAAATTCCCATGTGTGTCATATGCAAAAATTGAAGGTTCTTCCGGAGTAACAGTGAAGTTATAGTCTAAATCTTCATTTTCAGCATCAGAGTAATATATTGCAAACACGATGTCAAAATATTCTATTTCGTCAGTGCCGATTGTTTTTGAGGCTGTAAAACAAAGGTAACATACTGTATTTCAAATTAAAGACTTGTTAAAGAAAGTTTAGGATCAGATGTAAAAAGACATTTCGGAAATTTGATCAATGAATAAGTTGGGTATTTTTTAAGAAAAAAGGACATCTTTATTGTTATTGACATCTAACATTTGAATTTATCAAACGTTTAACAAGTAAGTTATTTAACTAATACAACTCCGTTGCTTGTTACTTTGTTTTCTTTTTTCATTTTCAAGGTAAAAAAGTGGTACTTGGTGTATTGGTGAATATCGGTGGCTCATTTGCCGTTATGTTTAAAGTAAACGTCCCCACATCACTTGAACCATATGCGTCACTACAACGAATGGTTATTGAGTAATGACTTGCTGTGGCATAATTCATACAGCCTGAGTCTTTTTGGCAAATAAAGTTATCCTTCAGGTAACCGCAACCTGGCATTTGACAGCTTTTCTTGTAAATGAACCATGCTAAAGAAAGAAAGAATTATATCTGATCAATATTAACGCCTTTCCATACAGTATGTTTTGTATTTTAACATTTAGTGACAAAAACAATAAAATGTACGGCGTTATAGTGTTGGTATGGTTACTGCTATTTCCGGCTATTTTTGTCTGATTCTATTCAATTTTTAGGAATAGTTCCGTGATATGCTAATCTTAGTATGTGCAAAATATAACGTCTTAGAAACAAAAAATATAGGAGATATGACAAAATTTTCAGAACTTCCCGAACAACCCTCGTATATGCCTCTTTAAGCTAATGAATGAATATAGGAAAATGCCATTTATAATTCTTACAGTCTTTCCTATAGCCTTCGTTGTGATACAGTTCCAATAGCGATTCGTCGTTGTTGTCTACAACACTGCATGTAACATTGTCCTGTTCAGGCTTATTTTGGTCTTCTAGAATGATTTTATGCATTTTGAGTCTGGAATCTTGATCCTCATTCACAATAAAAGACGTCGGTAAACTTAAAATTCGGAGAGGCTGTTATAAAACATATAGATAATTTATACATGTTTTAAATAAGATTCAATAACATGTCATATTTACTTTAGCCAATGCTTGTTTCAAATCATAATTATCGAAATCGCTACATACAGAGGCTTTTTGAAACTTTAAAATGTTGCATGAATGTTTGAATGATACCAGAACTTTTATGTAAATTATATTGATTATGTTTATTTTTATCAGAACTATTTTACCGCTTCCATTTTTAATAGTGATGCAAGTAATTTTGTATTTAACGCTTAACACGCCACATTTAATAAATGAACTTGTCCATTTTCAATCTGAAAATCGGTAGAAAATTTTAAAATATGTATTGACCAAGTAGAGGTTGCGCAGGCTTATCATGCTTTGCAATGGTCAAGTGGGTAGATTCAGTCGCCGCCAGCAGGCAAAGGGCTAAAATGTTCCATTTAATTACAAGAATGTTGTCTTAATAGACAAAAAAGGTACAAAGCCTAGATAATGGCCGAGAAAAATCTTTTTGGTGTTTTGACAAATACATAATTATATACTGTAGAGTATTCGTGGAAATCATTGCTGTCACCTTCGAGCAACAACAATAACAACATCGGACACAGTGCATAATTTAATAGTCGGTAATTAAAGTTGATTAAAGAACACACAAAGCGTATTTAAATACACGACTGGTGGAAATGTTTCACAAGTCGAACGGTCAGCGGGTGGGTCTGCGCCAATTAATCTGGCTTCGAATAATAGGTGTGAAATTCTTTCATAATTGTGTAATGGGGACTGAAATTTTACTTTGTAAAATAAAGAGGTATTCGGATAATGCATTTCGAATAATACGTTCGTATTTGAATTGATTTACATATACAGTCCGACCCCGGTTATTCGACAACCCTTTATTCGAATACCCGGCATTATCCAAAGTAGATCGGCGGTCCCGTTTTTATCTCTATATAAAACAATATAAATACGAGCGTATTATTCGAAATGCATTATCCGAATACCTCCTATTTTTCGAAGTAAAATTTCGGTCCCGACTATACAATTATGAAAGAATTTCACACCTATTATTCGAAGCCAGCCTAAGTATTATTCGAAGCCAGACTAATTGGCGCAGATCCACTCGCTGACCAGTCGACTTGTGAAAAATATCCACAGACATGCGTGTAATTAGACAATCATGATAATAACTCTTTGTGTGTTCTTTAATCAACTTTAACCGAAAATGAAAAGCTATGCACCGTGTCCGATTTTGTTGAAGATGTCAGCAATAATTTTTATACAATCCGAATATGTGAATTTGTCAAAACATGCAAAACATTTTTTTCATTAATTGCAACGCTACATGAGAGCCTTAAATTATCCTAATCGAAAACACCAGAGTTTAGCTGTGAATACTGTAGTGACGACACGGCCATTATCAAGGCTTTGCGCGAAACGAAACGATACATAATGGAAATAAAATGCAAGTATTTATGTCTTCAATGTCAATACAATAATTTTTACGCAGTGTTATAGATTATTTTATTAGTAGCAGAAACATTTTTGAAAGAATTTTTAATCTTACTGTTGAAAATAGGTCCGAAAGTGATCATTTACCAGTTTGTTTAGCACTAGATAACGATACATCTGTTAACAAAGTGTCATTAAGCCGTAATATAAGAAATAATTCTAAATCTGAAAATTTTACATTTTGTATTAACAAGGACAATTGTAATGTGTTTGAATCTCTTTTATTAGAAAAGGCTACAGAAGGAATTTTTGATGTAATAGATAGGCAAATTGATGATAACCTTTCCAATATTGATGATATTATTAATAGTTTTGAAAATGCAATTCTATCATGTAGTGACCCTTTCAAAAAATACAAAAGAAAACCTATGAATAATTTCAATAAACAGTGTTGGTACGACAAAGAATGCAAGGTTTTAAAGGTAAACTGTAATAAATGTTTAAGAAAATTCCGTGAAAGTAGGAGCATTTTTGATCTTGACAATTACCTTGAAAGTAAGAAAAATTATAAAAATACATGTAGATTAAAAAAGAAAAGTTATAATGAGGCTTGTTTAAGAAAACTGGAATCAACTGTTCGAGATTCCAAACTATTTTGGAGAAATCTTAACAGAATGACAAATAGTGTAAAGTGTCATCCAGATATTACATCTGATCAATGGTATGAACATTTCAAACAGGTGTTCAATAGTAATACTGAAACTAGTGTTGATGATGATGTAAATGTACCTGATAACCTTATATTAGATGATATTGATGACAGCTTGTTTAATAGTGACATAACTGATGATGAAATTCTTGAGGCTTTGAAAAAATATAAATCCTAAAAAATCTTCTTCAGGTAATTTGGTAGCAGAACATTTTATTTTTGGTATACACATTTTACTACCTTATATTAGGAAGCTATTTAACCGGCTTTACACATCAGGTGAATTTCCTTCAAATTGGTCAGAAGAAGTTATAGTTCCTCTTTAATAAAAAAGGAAAAATTAACAATCCAGATAATTACAGAGGTATTGCTCTTTTAGATATTTTTAGTAAGCTATATATTAGTATATTAACAACACGTGTAACTTTTTACTCTGAGGCTCTACATAAAATTACTGAAGCCCAATCAGGTTTTCGTAGTGGATATTCGACCATTGATAACGGTTTTGTATTATATTCAATAGTGAGTAAATATTTAGGTATGAAAGGTAAAAAGGTTTATGTAGCCTTTATAGATTTCAAGAAGGCATTTGATTCTGTAAATAGACCAAAGCTTTATAATGCATTGTACCAACATGGTTTTAAAGGTAAATTACTTTTTGCTATACAGAGTATATATAAATCAGTAAAAGCATGTGTCAAAAGTAGTAATAATAATTTAACTGATTGCTTTGAATGCCCTCTAGGTTTAAGACAAGGATGTAAGCTCAGTCCAATTTTGTTTTGCTTATTTTATTAATGATTTGGAGTCTTTTTTGAGACAAAATGCTACTCATGGTGTGCAGTTATCACCTGGAGATATTGAAATTTTTCTTTTAATGTTTGCAGATGATGTAGGTTTGATTTCAGATACCATCGTAGGTTTACAAAATCAACTTAACGGTCTTCAAAAATATTGTTTAGAATGGAAACTTAATGTAAATGTTTGAAAAAAACGAAAAATTGTTGTTTTTAAAAACGGAGGTCACCTATCTAAACGAGAAAAATGGTTTTATAATGATAACCTTATTGAAACAGTAAATGCCTTTACCTATGTGGGTTTTAAATTTCACAAGTAAATTATCATTGTATAAAATGTCTGAAAATTTAGCTATAAAAGCAAAAAAAAGTATTAGTTATCCTTTTAAAAAATATGTATAATCTTTTACCATGTCAGGTAAATCTTATTTCAAAATTTTTGACTCAAAAATATGTCCTGTTTTGTTATATGGGTCAGAATTATGGGGACTTGAAGTTAGGGATTGTATAGAACGTGTTCAAATATATGCATGTAAGAGATTTATGAATATTTCTTTAAAGTCGTGTAATGCAGTTGTAATGGGAGATTGTGGAAGATACCCAATGTATATATATGCAACAAAAAGATGTATTAAATTTTGGATTCGGATTTTATATATGGATGATGAGAGATATGTTAAAAAAAAGTTATTTTATGCTTAAACGATTAGATGAACTAGGTTATAAAAATTGGGGTGACAACTCTACGATTAAATCTCTATAAAAATGGTTTTGGCTATATTTTGGGAACAACAAAAGGTTGAAAATGCAAACTTATTCCTAACCCTTTATGTAAATAGATTAAAAGATCAGTACATGCAAAAATTGGAACAGTGAGTGTTTAGAAAACAGAAAGCTAGTATTCTATAGAAAATTTTAAATGTAATATTAATTTTGAAAAATATCTGGACTGTATAGATATATTGAAATTTAGGAGTAGTCTTGCTGCTTTTAGGTCATCTTCTCATCAATTGATGATAGAGAAAGGAAGACATATTGGTATTCCAAGGGAAATCCGTTTTTGTATACACTGTCCATATGAAATTGAATGTGAATTTCATTTTCTGTTAAAATGTCCTTTATATAATAATCTACGTCAACAATTTATACCAAATAAGTATTGGGAACATCCAAATAATCATAAATTTAACTTATTAATGTCATGCAAAAGTGTAAAGACAATACGAAACTTATCAATGTTTTTATATTATGCATTTAAACTGCGAAATGAATCTTTATCTTAAATGTCTTTATGTCAGTTGCTAAATCTTATTACATAATTACATGTATATGTTTTGTGAAAATTGGCTAAAATGCTGCTCTGACAACATGTCATTGTACTTTATACAACTCTATGTAAATCTGTATATTATGCGATGTTATATTATCCTAACTAGCTGTCATGTCATTATGCTATTGTGTTTATATATATATATATATTTCATGTATACATGTGTATGGGCCGGTGGCCTGAATGCAAATTTGAAATAAACTAAACCTAGAATTGTACGCATCTTTTCTTAAATATTTATTTTTCTCAATTGATTACAGGAAGCAAGTGTGTTGTAAACGGTAGTTTTGCGATGATTGGTCAAAGTGGAGTAGTTTTCGTCTATCACAATATTTCGATTTCAATTATTCGAACCCATCGATTATTCGAAGTAAATATTCAGTCCCAGGCACTTTGAATAAACGGGGTTGGACTGTAGATAAAAACAGGACCTCCGACTTACTTAGGATAATGCCGGGTATTCGAATAAAAGGTTGTCGAATAACCAGGGTCCGACTGTATTTATATCCTTGTCACAAAAAAACGTCTATTATTTATTTCCAAAACAAAATAACTACATAATTTCAAATCATAAAACAACTAGAAATTCATGAAAATCCAAGTTAAATAAAGTTGAAATTTAAATAAAGAAAATGAAATTTAGAACTCATAACAAACAGTAAAATTGTTTTTACGCAGTTGAAATGTAAATATTTAAAAGCACAAAAATGCCAGTTAATTCTACTGTCTGACGTAGGATACATTGAACTGTCATTGAGAAGGGGCATTTATTTACGATAACATTGTTTCACCGCTTGAAGATATACAATATTCCAAGCAATAATATTTGCAGATTCCAATGGTATATAACTTTCAAATGTGGCTCGTGTACTTCTCCCTTTATGCTTTCTAAATGATATACAATTAGCGATGACGCCATGTTACCATAAATCTAAAGTCACGTAATCACCAAGTCTGATACATTTCATAAGTATACGTAATACTATGATTTAACGCACCCATCTTATAGAATAATGATATATAATTCACCTTATACAACCTTTCTTCTAAGTAACACTTTATACTAACAAAACATTTAAATAATTACATTTATCATGATGTTATCTATTGCCAGATTGTTTTCGTAGCAGAAAACGTTATTCTGATGGGCTGAATGTAGAACTGTGATAGCGTTATCTTTTCATTCATTTCCCAAAAGCAATGGGGTGCTTATATTTTGCTATATGACCGAGCAGTAAAAATGTTTTAAAAAATATACCCAATTTGTAAAGTACACGTTCATTGTCATTGTACATGATGCGGTGTAGGAGCAGGTATTATCCATATTGCTTACTCTGACAACTATTGTACGAGTGGTATACGGATATTCCGGCCACACTGTTATATTTCTTGAAGTTGATATGATACCTGGAGAGATAAAATATGTGTGTTTACAAAGGTATAAATGTTTGAAATAATTTATCCATCTTAGAAAAGTTTCCAGCCTCAATTCATTGGCAAACGCAAAATATACATGTACTTTATTCTTTAGTATGATGTGGGTGATAAGTTATACATATGCGTCTATTTAAATACATTTAAAGCTGATCATGTCGAAAATCCGATAAAATTCGAGAAGTTATTCTGAGTGTCATTTCTTTTTTTTACACATTTTAAGAAAATGCAAAGAACAGTCTCTGCGTAAGAAGTATGACATGATAGCACATTAAACATATTTCTGAGAATTTCAAAACAAATTCAAACCTGATTTCGTATCAATTGAAACATCAGCTAGTGTTGAGGACACAATGTCGAAAGACAAATTTCGCCAGGATGTGTGCATTGAAGTGAAATTGTCAAATGGGTCGTCATAAGTGACTGTAAAAAGTGTTTCACCTTTAACATGTTGATCACTAAAGTTACCTGTCTGATCATGACAATTTAGTGTCTGGAAACATCCCACTGTTATAAGATCAAAGGCATGCCATTAATGAAAAATATGTTTCGAATAAAACATTAATTTAAAAATTAAACGTATACAATTGAATGTGAAGGATAAAAACAATGGTTACTTATATTCTTAGTCGTTTATGATTAATTTTGCAATCAATTGTCTTGCAGGTGCTGCAACAGGCTTTTAACGAACAAAAATGTTGCTGTTTGCGAGCAACACTCTCAAATATAATGTAAATTCATTGGTTTTTAACTGACGTTTTGCAACTTAAAGTTTTTGTATTCATTGTTTTTGATAGTTACCTCTTTTCAAATAAACAGAAATATATTTAAGTGATACCTTTTATCGTGAAGGAAGAACAAACTATATTACGCCTTTCTGTTCCACAGAAAGTAACAGAAAACGTGGCATTGACAGGATCCGATTGAAAACTGGCAATTGTAACATTTGCTGGTGTATCTATAAAATAAAAGTAAAATATACAGCGCTTTGAATTAAACCATTGTCATAACATACGCTTTAAACATGTGTTTAGTCAAAAGCATAAATAGGAAGATGGCTGGAAAGGTGAATAAACTGGTAAATGCAAACAACCCAACTCCAAATGACTTTACAGTAAAATAAGTACCAATCATGTTTATTATTTGTGTTCACATATCATTTAATCAAAAGGTTACAAATGAATTGTGACTTACTGTTATAGTTTCCACGGCTATCAAAAGCAAACAATGATGGTGTAATTGGTGATATGGTGTAGTTATAGTCCAGTGTTTCACTTTCAGCGTCCGTGTAGTAGATAGAAAATATGTTTTCTAAATGCGCTATCGGTATATTGTCAATGTTTATCGTTATCGTTGCTATAAAACAAAATTTATTTCTTTATATATATCGATATTATAAATCAAACATTTCATTAAATGCCGAATTATCAAAAGATAAGATGGATTAATTTGCATTTTACTATTTGATAGACTGTGTTGAAAGGAATGTTAAAACGTGACTGTATACCATATTATAAGTCACACAAAAATGAATGTATAATAGGTTAAATAACATTGCACGTTAACAAAATGAATTTGAAAAACAATAATGGAAACAAATAAGATTTCTTGACATTTGTGGATGGTTAACGATATAATGATTGTTGAAACATATAAGCCCTATACAATCACATAGCAAATTCTTGTTGCATGACATTGACTGGTTCCATATTCTCCATAAACATATTCCAAACATTCTTTTATACGATACATTTAAGACTAAAAACAATCATCTAGTATGTAAAAAGGTAAAAGCTTCGACAGGATAGGAAACAACTCGTTAACAAATTAATTACAATTCATCATCAAAGATTATTTGACATATTTCACGTTGTCTTGTTCACTTATTGCCTTTTTTACAACTAAGCTAGCAAAAACGAGTAGAATTTATTAATAGCAGAATAATCGTTTTGGTGTAAAATGATAATGGTGTTTTCCAAAACAAATGTATAAAAACTTACTTGGAGTATTTGTGAACACGGGTGGTTGATTCTCAGTTACTTTTAAAGTGAACGTTTCCGTGTCGTCTGAACCATACGCATCGCTGCACTTGATCGTCATTGTATACTCGTTGTCAAGGTCATTGTTCAAACAGGCAAATCCTTCGTCACAGAGAAAGTTAGCATTGATGTATCCGCAACCAGTGTTTTGACATCGTTTCTTATATATGAACCAAGCTAAAACAAATATAGCATTTTTCATGAAGACGTCATTGAATTAGACAGTAAGTTCTGTTAAAAAGATAAATCAGTATTGAATGTTTTCTACATCTTGAAACAAGTTGCAAAGTATGTAAATATAGTCACTTTGGCAAATACTTAGTTAACTTAGTTAACTTATGCGTTTCACAAACATTTCCTTTTAAGAATGAATAAGTAAACTAAGATAAAACTATACTTGGCATTGCATTTTATAACTGCATTCTTAACTGTATGGTCGTAAAAGAACTTACAGTTATAACTGAAGTTGCCGTTATGGGTTAATTCAAGAAGGGTTGGTTCTTCATTGTTGACAACAACACACGTGACGTTGTCATGGTCCGGATTGTTGTAATCAAAGGTGATTATACCGTGAACGAGAGTACGTGCATCAGTATCCTCATGAATATTTGTGCTTGAAGGCAGACTTGCAATTCTGATAGGCTAAAAAAGGTTCAGGAATCATTGGAAATATTTATAACATAACAAATTGTACAAACGTATCTCGATTAAATCAAACCGTAACATGAAAGGTAAAGAGTATTGGGTTAATTAGATAACAGAAATAAATTACAAAATATGTTCGATTAATCTGATATTTGAGCTACTTGTTGAAATTCAACAACACAATGTCGTAAACCAAAAGAATATCAAGTTTCTTTAGACAGATATGTTTACAAGTTTAAACTTAAATTGTATCCATGTTACACTTGATATTATCATTATGATATTTTATAGTGTTTTTGTTTTGTTTGGTTCGGTTTTTTTGTGTGTGTTTTGGCAATGTACTCTGGGACATAGTTATGTGAGATACGGAACAAAAGAGTCCAGTGGGGACCTACATATTTGAAACATGATTAGTTTTAGTTGTCACAATAGTCAGATATCGTACCTCACGAAATATGTATAGGACATATGTGTGCCATTACAGCATCAATATCAAAATCTGGAAACAGAGTGATTCCTCGGAAGCATTAATCACAACAAAATTACAAGAGAATTGCAAACTCGGTTTGATTGAGTCTGTACATGAGGGATAATGAATAAGTGCAACATACCTCACACCCCCTAGCACCGGCTTGAGCGATACTCAATTAACAGTAATCAATACATTCGCATATCAACCCACATCAAAATGTATTGGACGGCTGATTTTAGAGATATCGACATACTTAATAAACACAGTCAAATATTCTTTATTGTTGACAATGACATTACCGATAAGTTATCTGATCCACTGACTAAATATTGGAATAAAATAATGGAATAAGTTGTTTAAGAATTTACAAGATTTGAGCAAAAGACAAACATTAACAAATTTGAAAATTGTAAGCACAGATCAGGATTAAACTTCCTACGTTCTTACCCAGTTGGTGAAGGAGAACCGCATGCTTATTGTGCATGTTGCGGTATAGGAACACGAATGTCCAGGATTACTCACTGTAACTACAATGATATGTGTGGAGTAAGGGTAATTCGGCCATACTGTAACATTTCCCATTGTTGAAAGGACACCTTGAGGTATAAAGAAAGCATGATAATGTTACTAAATATAATATAACAGTTATTCGCTAACTTAGTTTCAGGAAGTCAAATTTAAGAAAGAGACATCAAGAGTTTAGAATTGTATGAATATTCGAAAACCATGTAGCGGTTTACATATCATAGGCAAAAGAATCGTTCGTTTTATTCTGTATTTGAAACCTGCTAATTGAGTAAAGACCCGGTAATTTTTGCATAATTTAACATATTATTGGTAATTGATTTGGTCATCTAACCCTAAAAATAATAATGACTTAAAAAACTTGATGTGTTAACTTTGAAGTGTTGCTTCTATTGAAACATTATTGGACTAATATTTGAAATGACATGAATATTGGGTGTTGCTTAATGACCTCAAATGACTTTATATGGAAGTTTTTGAACTGCAGTTTGATTAATTATCTTGTAAATTTAACATGAAAGACAACTGAATAAAATGAGGTGATGACATTCAACATTGATTATCAAAGATGATTTTATTTCCCGATTTCTGTTTGATTGAAACATCCTCTATCTAAATTGATGTGTACATATAGCAAGTACGAAATAAAATACGATTTCTTTTGGTATATTTTAGTGTTGAGCAAAGAGGAACCAGTATGACGGAAATGTTTATGTTTTAAATTTATTTTGTTTACCCGTAGTTAGGTTTAGTGATGCCAAATTAAGTGTAGACGATGTTATAACAAAGTTAAGATTCTGCCATGTTGAACTGATGAACGAGAAATGAGCCGACGGATTGTCGTATGTCATTGTAAACAAGGTACCGCCGGCTTGGAATTGATCACTAAAGCTGGTGGTATCGCTCTGATCTCGACAATTTGGTGTTTGAAAACAACCGTCTGGAAAGAAAAGTCTAGATGAAATAATTAAACTTAATAATGGAAATAAAAGATTAATTTCCTTTCAAAATTCATGAAAATTGTTTATTATAGCTCAACTCTAAAGTAAGATGGCGCTATATTTACAATGGTGTTATTCAAATAAAACATTATTCTACCTTCTGTTAATACATTAACGCGTTCATGATTATCAGTTAAAATTTGTGAAGTTTTAAAGCAAAATGTGATTATGGTCAGAGAATATTTGCATGATTCTAATTTGTAAATTGTGTTTCCAAAAAAAGCAGGCGAGAATAAAATGAAATAAAATAAGTATTAAAGAAGCGGCTCCTAAGAGGAAATATGGCTATTAGTAGAACTGTTGTTCGTCACAGACAAAATATAATGTAGGGTTTACATATTCTTCTTTGAGATGTTCATTACATATCGCTCATACATGCCTCAAACTGGGAAACTGTACCGAATTCAACGTAGCTTAATATCTTTTCATTTTCGTTACTTATTTTATTCACTTCAAAGTTTCTATTCCTACTGTAAGAGATGGCATTACATACCAAAGTTAATTGTCATATTTTCACACGACTGTTGGCGTCGACTGTGTATACATACTCCAATAGTGTACGTATAATCGTATTCTACATCAGGATTTGTTCTCACATATACTTGACCGTTGCCTGAAATAATTATGTAAATCAGTCAGTAAATTAATATATCATTTATTTCTAGTACTGCAGTTCAATTTTTTGCGATATAATACCACGGGCCGAACTCCGTAAAAATAATGTGATATGAAAGTGATTGTTTACAGTGAAAGACAACTTGTTAGGAAAGTTTATTCCTTCCTAGTGTATATAATATGTAAAATGAATAGGTAAAAAGGAAAGGAAAACAATTCCTTAAGTTTTAAAATCTCCTTTGGTTGACAATTTAATAACTCTTACTGGAATGAAGTCATACACATGCAAACGTTTTAATTTAATGCATTAATGAAATGTTAAAAAGTAGCACCTTTATTGGAACTGAGTAACGTACATGCTGAAAACAAAAAAAAGTAATTTGTTTTTCCCAGCCTGCATATCCGTGAATAGACTAGGCTCTTAACGGTTGTTTCTTCAGATTTTTAAATCACTTGAGCATTGAAAATTGTGCTCAAATTCATGCAACACAAATCCTTTACATAAATGCTGCTAATAAAGCGTAGTCACACATTGCAAATAAACAATTAACATACCTGTATTCAGATCAAACATATTTGATGTCCCTAGCAAGTATGAATTAGCAACAGACGAAGACTTGGTGTACTGTACAACTGCTGGACCACTTGATTTAGCTGCAGTCGCTAAAACAGTTCCAACACTCATGATGTTGTCTGCATTTACTGAACCTAATTGGAAGAATATAATTCATTAAACTAATTACATAAATGCTTATTGTAATATAATTATAAGCAAAATTGGTGCATGAAACGACAAATATACCATAATAGTTTATATAAATATCATAAAAATACACAGATATATGAAAGAAATTATTATTGTGTTGCTCGCTCGCTTTCCTTTCCAGATTGGTAAATAATAATACAATTCAGCAGTAAATATCCTTGGATGAGCGTAATAAAAATATCTGTTTCTATCGTCTTTGCGAACATTCCGATCTTATATTTGTACGGGTCTTACAAATCTCACGCTGTAGATGTAACGAATAGCAAATCGTATGAAAAATTTACAATGCAAAAAAAAAATATTTTGATTGTACCGTATTTTATTCCTCTGAAGCAAGTACGATGCCATCGATGGCATATTTCATAACGTAAGGACCAGTGGCATCATATTTTCATCGCGATCGGCGTAGTTTAACTATTACATTAATTTTCTCAGAGATGTTTAAATTATATGTGTTTATATCATTATGTAATGTAATCATGATAGCATATTTTCATGATGATGCATGGAATAAAATGCATATTCTGACAGATGACGCGGAGTACCCATTCTTTTCCACAAATTAGTGCATTATCATTATGTTTTCTCCATACACGTAGATAGTTTATATCAGAATACTCTGTATTCAACAGATGAATGATAGAAACACTATGTCCCGATACATGCATGGGAAAGAAAAATCAAAACTTTGTCAGTCAAAACAAACCTTCAAACGCAAATACGAAGAAAACGTTATTGCCTTTCTTGAACATGACGACAATGGTCGTTCACAACCAGGCAAAGCAGACAAGAAGAAAATCGGAGAAGAAGTAAAGCAGACGCGAGTTCTCATTGCCTACCTAGAAAATCTTCATTCAAAATATCTATCTGGAAATCCTAATACACAGGTATCATTAACTACATTCTCTTGTGGAGATTATGTAGCCGCAGTGTATAACAAGATATGGTATATTGGAAGCGTAATTGATAAAGACGACAGTGATGGCGAGGTTGAAATTTCATTTATGGAGCCCAAGAAATACTTCTTTCAATGGCCCTCAAGTGATGATAACCTATGGGTTAAGAATACAGATGTTTTCTGAAATGTTGAAAAGCCAAAAGCCACTGGAAAGTCTAAGCGCATGTTCAAAATTTCTAAAAGTGACAAAGTTATGAGTGAATCTTGTTTTCATAGCAAACAGTGTTCGTTTTAAATGAGAAAGTTCATTTTGAAATGCTCGAGACTTCCATGGAAGAAGTTTGATGAATAAATATAGTCTTACATGTTTATGTACATGTAGTTGTATTTTAAACGATGCTTAATCTGTCAAAACAATTTATTGAAGTATGTTTGTTTTGTATTTTTGAGGTGTTAATTTCGTTTAATAACATAATAAACAGCATAATACAAAGATATTTTTATTTTGTATGTGTCAATGCATAGAAATCACCTAAGATGTTTGAAATACATGTATTCGATTCTTAGCTTTGAAATGTCCGAGACATTTTTAACATTGGTACAGTTTTAATAGATTACGACTTTTCGATGAATTGTTACGCTATCTATAGTATTACAGAAAGGAATGGACATGTTCTTACATTAAAATCTTTTTTATTGATGTATACATGTATTATAAAAATAACAAGGATAAAAAAAATGGGAAATTATGTGTTGATACTGTTCATTGCATTGAGTATTCTATAAACAAGCTAATATATATATATATATATATAGCCAAATCGGATATGATTTAAGTAAAGTTCCAATAAATTACATTTCAATTTGTCATTCTTTGTTGTATTTTGCTGGTGTAACTATTTATAATGAAATTCCTTTAAGGCGTGTATTTATGAAAAGTTCGATTGGGTCACATAGCCTTTTAATTAAATATGTTAGACCTAGTCATTGTTAAAATCGTGAATTCACGAAGTTGAAATCGTGAATTCATGAAGTAAACCTCGTGAAAACTTTAAGTTGAAATGTCATCACCGGTCTTTCGTAATTTCCCTATCTACTGAAAGCATGAAAAAGAATTGTAGTGTGTTATTTACTGTTTTGTTTAATTTTTTTTATTTTCTACCGATGCCATTTTGCAATATACAACACGTTGATGTTGTATCAAACAAAGTTTACACAACATCTACATATTATAAACTTACTGATAAGCAATTAAAGAGGTTTTCGCAATTTCGCAAATGTAATGTAAATTGCAAACCTACTTTTCTTTTTTTTCCCTCGATTCTTATAGTCGATAAATCGGTATTCCCTTTGAATAGAGCTTTTTTATTATTCATTAAAAAACCTCTGCTGTTGCCCTATTTGAATCATTTAATGGTTTTTAATTGCATCTTTCTAATTATACTTGTTATACTATATTTGTAATGCATAAAACGTTTAACATTTGTATATAATATTCGGGTCAATATTAACAACTTCAAATTAATAAGTAGAAATAAAATAAAGAGAAACATATCAAAGAGTGTGATAGTATTCAAAGGACAGTCATTGTTTTCTATCATACCTGGAAGGCTAATTGTCAATGTCGGTGTTTCTGCTGCAGCACTAACGGTAAGAGTAGATGTTCCAGAGTCATTGTTATCATATGAGGTTGTGTAACACTGTATAGTAATACTGTAAATGGTTGCAGTCATACACCCGTTGCTGGTAGAACACGCTGTACATGATGGACAACTACCACAGCTTGTTGCCGAACATGCTGATTTGTACACTGTGTGCCCTTTTAACAAATTATTAAAAAATAGGATACTAGTAATAAAGTATGTATGTATGTATGTATGTATGTATGTATGTAAAATATGTTTTTCTCTTTTAGCTCAGATAAAATATCAAATAAACACGCTGTGTTAACTAGCGTTCAAATGATTACAACATTGGCAAATGCATTTTTCCCACGACTCGCAAATGCATTTGTACATAATATTAATAAACAAGAATTGCTTGTCCTCCATCTGGGGCGTCCGCGACCGAGTGGTTGACTTCGTTGACTTCAAATCACTTGCCCCTCACCGCTGTGGCTTTGAATCCCGACAGGACTTTGAATTCTCTCATATGGGAAAGCTATCCAGCTAGCTTACAGAACCTCGGTGGTTCTATTGTAAATTGATGAAGTTGAAATCGTGAATTCGTGTAATTGATATGTGAATTCAAGTTGAAATCGTGAATTCATGATGTAGAACTCGTGAATGCCTAACAAATTTGTGCTGATGTTTCTACTAAACGCAGTAGTATTACTGTCTCCCAAAATGTTTTTTAATTTATTATTATTGAATCCATCAAAATTTTATCTTTAAATTAGGTCAATACTAAACGTTTTCGTGTTTGATTTTTAAGATATGTACATAATATGGTATATTAAATATGTATTGTATATCTGTTATTAAACTGCTAAGCTGTAAACAAATAAACTGTTTACCTGACAGGTAGAGAAGTCCTGTTGCTGTATTAGAAGAAACTGTACATGTCTCACATGCTACAGTATGAGAATCTGTTCCAGTCTTAAATCCAAGAATATATGTATTAGAAGAGGGGTAACACGTGGCAGAAATACTCCACAAATACATTGAACCGTCGTCATTTTCATTTAGGTACTGTGTTCCTGGATTGTTAAATGATACCAACTCTGTAAAAGACAATTCTATTATTATTTTATGATTTTCATCACAATATATATGTTATGTCTATATAATGAACATACAGATATTTTACAGTGGTATAATAGCATTGCATTAGTACATTTAAATTGTTATATATCATTGTTTTCGTTAATAGATTACATAGTATGGATGTGTATATACAAAATGACCATACTCATGCTGAGCGTTTCGTAAGCAAATCAGTATGAAAAAATAACCTCTTCTTCAGCTATTTTGACAATTTTTTTGGCAACAGACTAAACAGTCTTACAAGTTATAATGCTGAAAAGGCATCGTATTAATTAGTCATTTTTTTATTTAAAACAAGAAGAACATCCTGATATTAAAGCAAGCTAAATGGCAAGAAAAAAGGACATACCTGTATATTGAAAAAATAATAAATTTATTAACAGTACAATCAACATTTTCCTTTACAGTGTTTAAACGAAAAATGAAAAAAAAAACAGGTATACTAAACGAAACTAAGGTAAGTTCCTCTTTGAGATTCATCTATCATGAAATCTATTTTGGGGAACGGCATGACTAAGTTCGCTTTTTAACTATTTTTTTTTCGACAGCTTTATCTACTAAGTATAGTATTTCTATTCTATTGTATTAACTGAAACAACTGACATTGTGTGACTATTGAAATTATAGAAACTGCGCAAATCCGTTGAAGTGTCCTGGTTTACTTTAGAGTGGGTGTATAAAACAAGGTATGTCGTGTTTGAATGTTCATTCAGTACAAATACTTTAGCTGTTCCTATTTTTAGAAAATACACTATCTATACTCAGTTCTTATAATATTACGGATTCTATGATATCACAGTATTTACATGGTCTGCGCCTGTAAGGAAAACACTGGATTATATGTTTAATTTTCTAAACTGTCACACTAAATTGCATAACATCTGCCAATAAATTTAATTTTGTGAATAATGACTATATTCGTGGTAAGAAAACTATTTTAAAAAATCTTCATATTTGACTACAATTCACCCTTATTGTTTTTACACAGTCAATTAAAATATGTTATAATCCCATATACTTACATATTGTCTGTTCCTATAGTTTGAATGTGATAGCATGTTAGCTGTTAGAAGTTTTTCACTACTTAATTTGAAGATTTTGATCCATTTATACTTCAACTGTAGCATTTTTGGGGATGAAAATAATACCGTAGTAATCTCCTCTGAAATCACCCAAAATGGTAGACAATGTAAATAGTTTAGAAAATAACATTTAAATTGGATCTTTTGAAAGAAATTTTTGACAAACAGTTTTAGACCACTTATTAGGTAGAGGAAAATTTCAGTCATCTTTGATTTTTGAATTTTAATATTTCCGATAAACGTTAAGTATCGTGATATCATAGTACCCCGGGTTATCTGTTCATTAACTTAATTTGCACTCCTCGTGTTGCATTGGTCTGATCATATATTCTATAACTGTGTTGCTTTGCTATAAAACTATCTTGCTACCTTAATTTGAAGAATTAGGGAGTAATAGCTAGTCTTCTCACATTTATTTTAATGAATGATCATATTCCAGGTGAAGTCTAGTATAATTTGAACTTGATTATTTATTATCTCTCTTTTTTTTTACAATCATTATTATTATTATTATTATAAAAAATTGATTATTATTATTATTATTGTTGTTGTTGTTGTTGTTGTTATTTTTATTATTTGTAGGGTTATATAAAACCAGTAGATGTCATATGGCAAATGAAACTACATAAGGATTTATATAGCAGCATGAATCAGAAATGAAAAGTTATGAAAGGATACTTCAGTTAAAATGGACATATTCAAAAACATACAAACCCACTTACCTGGACAAAGTTCGGACGGACGTTATAATGAATGTGTATGACTCGGGTGCTTTTTTGTCAATTTTGCAACCATTTTGCTCACTTGAAAGGTTGCAACCAATTCACGCTCGCGTCCTGTTCCTTATATCCGTTTTCAGGAGATGCAGTCTTAATATTTACCATTTTTTTCCTTCTATTTACATCTATACTCACAAAAGAGTATGTTGAGCTCCGTAAGGCTGCTGTAAAACATTGTCCTATATAATTTAATAGTATACGGGATTTTACTTTTAAAAAGTCTAGGTCTCCAGCAGGGGTTAAACTAAACGAAAAAAGCTGATAAAATAACTTTGTCACGTGGGAGGAAGCCAAAAGTTAACCTTGTTCCAGTACTACCAGTGATCACCCAATCAGACAGATTAAGTTTACATTGTTAAGTTTTTGATGTTATGTTATTATCGGCGATAAATATTAAAGTGCTGTTAAATATGTAATCTGAAAAGCTTTCTTGTGTAGATTCAAACAGAAAATGACACATTATAGTACACATGTAGTCAGCAGCTTTCTTTTTAAAATTATGACAACGTACAGGTTGTATGTGCTTCCTTGTGTGGAATATGGGTGAGGTTTGGCGCGCCTATAAACCGGTTTAAACTCACCAGTGGTGTAACTACCACTGACCATTCCAAGGCGGTACCCCACTGTGTTCCTTCATATGTCTGTATGTTTACTTTTTGTGATGTCTACCTTATTTAATTGTCTTTAACGACCCCCTTCTCCCATTTTTTGACACCCCACTCTTATAGCCCGTGTCTCTTTAATTCCCATATGGACCAAAGAGATGCATAAATTATTTCAGGTGAGTAATAAATAAGTCATGTTGTTATTGATGTATAATCAAGAAAGGAAATAATAGTAAGAAAAAACTACTGAAGCTAGGTGACATGTCATGAAATATTGCGACATAAAAGAAAAGGATTTATGCTTCACGAATTCAATATTTCAACTTCATGAATTGAATTAAACTTCATGACTTCATGCTTTGAATTTCACAAATTCAATATTTCATCTTCACGAAGTTGAAATCTTCAATTCACAAAGTTGAAATCGTGAATTCACGAAGTTGAAAGCGTGAATTTGAAATCTTTATTAGGTGAAATTGAAATCGTGATTTCTTGAAGTTGAAATCTTGAAATCCAGAAGTTGAATTAGTGAATTCTGTATGTTAAATCGTGAATTCACGAAGTTGAAATTGTGAATTTGAGAAGATGATCCTGAGAATTCAAAAAGTTGTAATGTCACCACTGGTCCTTCGAAGGTAAGTCACATTTTCGCATTTTCTTGATCTTTCATAATTTTAGCACATGTACTATTCAAGTTTTTTATGACCTCTACCCACACACGTTCTCATGCTTTGATACATGTCCGCTTATCGTTTTTCAAGTTTAAACAGCATTTTTTAACTGTTGTGTGGCAAGGATATCTTCCTGTTAATTTTAAATTTGGTCTACAAGGGATGATTTCTAAAAACCGGTTTGATTATAAATGGCTTTTCTTTTCAAAGTAATAATAATAATCAATATATATATATCAAATTATACCATTTTCAAATTCCATTTCTACCAGATTCAGTATCGGTACCCTATTTAAGAAATCTATTAAAACGTGATCCCCTTAAATTTTGCACATGCATAGATCACTCTCTCCTGAAAACAAATCGGCGACGGACACCAAACCATTGAATGTTCATTCTACTGGCAAAAGTAGATATGTGGTGTGATAAGCAAGTATGCCACGAAAAACTAGAAAGTTTTTACTATGTCTTTCATAGGAATTGGTTCATTTTTCAATTACCACAACTCTACAATAAGCTACACAATACTGCGATATTTGCCATGCCCACCACTCAGCTGAAATGAACAAGTGATTTGATTAGGTACACACCATACCTATTATATGTTTCCAGTTTTATATAATCTTCAGAGAAATGGAATAACTAGACTCGCCACGGCGAGTCTGTATAACGTTAGGCTTTTACTAAGAAAGCAATAGAAACAACCTAAAACTCACTGAGCTGGAGTCAATAATTTATTTGGCCAACTTATATTGGGAAGCTTGCAAATTTAAGAATCTCAATCTTGATTTATATAAAAACAATATTAAAAAAGGAAATACAAGACAGGGGATTAAGAGGCATCAAGGAAATAGGACTTAGTACACAGAAAAAAAGAAGTATCTTTATAAAAGATACTCGGCCGAACTAAAACTGGTTTACTTGCATATCGTATATTAGGAAACATGGAAAAAGAATCATAGGAATTATGATGTTGAGCCTAGTACTAATTTCTACGTTTATTTTTTGAAATATTAAAATCATATGTATATGTTGGCAAATACAAAGTATGTTAATAGAAACAAAATCTTCAGTCTGAAGTCAATCCTTTAAAAGTAAAGAAGAAGTAAATAAGAACTACAAACCAAATGATTTATTCAGTACTTATTTTGTTTTGTCTAATTTTTACCGTCATGTGATTCTTTTATTTCAATTATTGTGAATGTCGTTTCAGCTCAAAGAAAAACACTTAAGTTATTGAAGTTTGATCCAATCGAAATTTTAATTGAAAGTTTATAATTGACAACGGTTTTTGATACGAAATTCACGAATCATCAAATTTTCAACACCTTTGGAAATAACGAAAGAAACCTTAAATCCGAAAGAGAGCCTTCTTATCTAAAATACTTTGGGAAACGTTTATTATAAACAAACAATTCAATCGTTAGCGGTTAAATAAATACTTCATAAATATGTTAAATACATGAAAATTATAAACTTTGTATATAACTGGCAATACCAGATAAATTCGTTTTCTTGTGTGCTTTTCGCTATTTTCAAGCGCATGAGTAAACGGGAAAGTGGATGAAGTTGAAAGTGGTGATTTTCACTTATGTGTGACAAAATATATAACTCGATCGTGAAATGAGCTTCAAATAATCTGTACGATACATGGAAATATTGAACTAATAATGTGTACGAGAAGGCATGGTTTTAACAGTACTTAAGTTTCTGAAATTTAAAGATGTATTTAGATCATCCTTGAGTAAGATATTCTAATCCCAGACATTTATTGAAACCAATGAATTTTTTTTATTGAATATGTCTAATTTGAATAAAAGAATTAATAAACTATGTATGGGAAGCTGTGTTCCCTATTACGGGGCAAGTAAAGTTGGTCATTTCTTAAAAAAACTGCCATTTTGTTAATGACACTATATAATAATATTGTGACCACTTATAGTGTATCGAACATGACATATCTACTTTGTATCAAGCCAAAACGTGTTTATTTTAAATATACAAAGAGACTTTGTAGCAATTATAAAAAAAATTGAGCATAGTATAATATGTTTAAAATTGATAGTAAAAGAACTTATGAATGTAGACTTTCGTTTCCACACTCCTTAAGATCAATCAAAAATAAGAGGCGTGTATCTTTTATGTTACAAAATGAGTCGGTTAGAGTGACCTCTCCTAACAACACTGCAAATGGCGTAAGGGTTCAAAAGGAAGGTGACTGTTGCGTAAGGGTTTAAAAGAGAGGTTACTGTTGCGCTCAAAATAAAGTCAGTTACAGTGACTTCCAATGATATTATTGCAAATGGGTAAGGGTTCCACAGGGAGGTGACTGTTGCGCTACAAATCGAGTCGGTTAGAGTGACTTCCCCTGATAACATTGCAAATGGCGTAAGGGTTCAAAAGAGATGTGACTGTTGCGCTAAAAAAGAGTCGGTTAGAGTGACCTACCTATATACATTGCAAATGGCGTAAGGGTTCAAAAGGGAGGTCACTGTTGTGTTCTTAAAAAATAGTCGGTTAGAATGACCTCCCTTGAAAAAATTGCAAATGGCATTAGGGTTCAAAAGGATGTAACTGTTGCACTCCAAAACGGACCTTCCATCATAAAATTGCAAATGGCGTAAGGGTTCAAAGGGTGGTAACTGTTGCGCTCAAAAAGAATTGATTAGATTGATCTCCCCTGATAAAATTGCAAATGGCGTAACGGTCGAAGGGAGGTAACTGTTAAGCTCCAAAAAGACTTGATTAGAGTGACTTCCCCTGATAAAATTGCAAATGGCGTAAAGGTTCAAAGAGAGGTAACTTTTGCGCTCAAAAAAGAGTCAGTTAGAATGACCTCCCCTGAAAACATTACAAATGGCATAAGGGTTCAAAGGGAGGTAACTGTTGTGCACAAAAAGTTGTTAAGAGTGACTTCCCCTGAAATTGCAAATGGCGTAAAAATTCAAAAGGAAGGTTATTGTTGCGCTAAAAAAGAGTCGGTTAGAGTGACCTCCTCTGAAAACATTGCAAATGGTGTAAGTGTTCAAAGGGAGGTAACTGTTGCGCTTAAACAGAGTTGGTTAGAGTGACCTCCCCTGAAAACATTGCAAATGGCATAAGGGTTCGAAAGGGAGGTAATTGTCGGGCACAAAAGAGTTGGTTAGAATAACCTCCCCTGAAAACATTGCAAATGGCGTTAGGGTTCAAAGAGAGGTAACTCTTGCACTAAAAAAAGAATTGATTAAAGTGACCTCCCCTGATAACATTGTAAATGGCGTTAGGGTTCAAAAGGGAGGTTACTGTTGTGCACAAAAAAGTGTCGGTTAACTTGAACTCCCCTGAAAACATTGCAAATGGCGTACAGGTTCAAAATAGAGTTGGTGAGAATGACCTCCCCTGAAAATATTACAAATGGTGTAAGGGTTCAAGGGGAGGTAAATATTTCCTTCAAAAAAAGAGTTGATTAGAGTGACCTCCCCTGATAACATTGCAAGTGGCGTTAGGTATCCACAGAACTTTGCATGATTGCATGTAAGAAGTTTAAAAAACTTTCTTATTCTGTAGTCAGTCTTTAGAAGCTCCTCCTAAATAAGATTTTATTTCTCAACTGCTAATAAGATTTTTCTCCTATTTATGATTTTAAAATCTGGACCTAAACGCCTTTGTTAACGTTGTCATTAAATATTTTCGACCATGCGACTACATACATGCATCGAGGACATGTTTGAAGAAAATTGACCGTGCGACCACATACACGCATCACAGGGTTCCCCTTCTCTTACGAGAAAGGAACAAAGATTTTATTAAAGGGCAGACTTAAAAAATGCCTTTGTCTTATGTTATTGATAAGGAGGCTAATTTTCACAGACATATCTTGATTTGGTTTATATACAACATTAGTTGCGCAAACCAAGCGGGTTATCAGTTTACGTCTTTTTATGTCCGCTATGAAATTTTAAAAAGATCATATATAACTTATTGGAAAATTTTGAGTTTAAACTTTTTTTTTTTACTTATCATTTTATGTATATAACAGAATTATTTTAATTTTGCAAAGCATGAACGTTTCAAAAACGTTTTATATGCGTTAAATATTGGAGATCTATTTCACACGTTGTTTTCATATATTAACCTAAGGGCTTTTTTGCCGAAGTACTGTCCAAGGACGATAACTTGAGCCTATGTTTACATAAAAATTAATCACAATAGCCTAATAAATGAAACACAAAGTAAAACTTCATATTTTCATGTGCCTTGATAGCGCAGTAGGTCAGTGTTGTTCCGTACATTTAGATGTTCATATCATAGTTAGGTACCATTACATTTGAGTGTTTTAAGTATCTTTTCTTCTTTGACCAGTTTTGTTTCAAATACTTACA